ATGGATGGATGGTGGGTGGGTGGATGGATTGAAGGAAGGAAGGAAGAAAAAAAGGAAGGAATTTTAAAAATTCTGCACTTAGCATTTGGGAAGAGGTAAGAAGCTTGTGAGTTTAAGGCTGAGGTTTATATGAAGACATCCTGTCTCCAAAACAAAACAAAACCAAAACCAAAACAAAGCAAAACACCTAAACAGAAAAGAACTTTCACTAAGCTGTTTGTAAGACCATGAATCAAATAGAATATAATAATTAAAGGCTGATAAATAGATTCTTTGTAGTATAGTGTTTGCACTGTGTGCCTGATACAGACCAGAAGAGAATAGGAGATGATTGATTTGAATCCATCATCACCACAGTGAAGTCTCTTAAAAGTCTTCAAAGTTTTAATGGAGACTTACTTCATCACATAAAAAGATGGGGGTGGGCCTTTATGAAACTATCACAGAATAACTGACCAGCTGGACTGTGGTGACATATACATGGTAGATCTGACTGAGTTCAAGGCCAGACTAGTCTGCAGACTAAGTTCCAGGACAGCCAGGCTACATGGAGAAACCCTATGTTGAAAAACAAAACAACAACAAAAGAATATCTGACACTGGGAAAAGGGCAGAGTAAAAGGATCCATCAGAATAGCAAACACTCATGCTCCAATTACCGCACACAAATTAAAGGCATCAGCTCAGGCTTGATTACTTGGGCAATACCAGCCAAGGGGAGATCTGGATACATACCTAGAGGAATCAGTAGCAGCAGAAAGAAACAGCCCAGCAACAAAGGGATCAGCTGATGTTACCATTTACAGAGCAGGGGAGGATAAAGACTATTAGATTTTTTTGAAAAATGTTTTCTTTTTTTTAATGTGCATTAGTGTTTGTCTGCATATATGTCTGTGTGAGGGTGTCAGATCTCCTGGAACTGAAATTATAGACAGTTGCAAGTTGCCATTTGGCTACTGGGAATTGAACCCCAGTCCTAAAAGAGCATCCATGCTCTTAACTGCTGAGCCATCTCTCCAACCCTGGATCTCTCTCTCTCTCTCTCACCCTCTCTCCCTCCTTATCCCCTCTCTCCCCCTTTCTTGAGGTGTTTACTGTATAGCCCTGACTGGCCAGCACTCATAAAGATCCACTGGTCTCTAACTACTGAGTGTTAGGACTAGAGCCTTTTGTCCCACAGCCATCTCTGTTTAGAATTTTTATTCCTTAAAAGCAAAGTACAAATAAAGTAATAAAACTTTCATAGCATTCTTTTTTTACATTCTTACTGTTACTTTATTTTTACTTATTTGTGTGTATGTAGAGGTCAGAGAACAACTTACAAGTGTTAGTTTTCTCTTTTCCACCATGTGGGTTCCAGGGATGGAGCCAGACTTGACAATAAGTAACTTTACCCACTAAGCCACCTTGCTATCTATCCCCTTATGTTCTTTAATGAAAAAAGGCAGAATCAAAATAAAGAGGTGGTTTGTGGGTGAAATAAAATGGAAAGATCCACACTGAAATATAGATGAAACAAATAACTAGGATGTAGTATTGCAGTAATATATGTTTTTATACTTCTAATTCTCCAAATAATGAGGATAGGATGGGAATGCAAGCAGAGGGAAGTTACAGACGCTGCTGCAGAGAAAAGTCTTCTGCAGCTGATTGAGTCTGTGGCAGAGCTTTTTTCTTTTCTTTTCCACATTGGGTACTTGAAGACGCAGCCCCCAGACAGCCATCATTTTTTGCTGGCTGTTTTTAAATACTGGAAATTGACCCTAGGGCTTTGCACAGCACTCTACCACTAAACTGTATTCCATAGTTCTTTTTTACCAGTCTCACTAGGTTGCCCAAGCTGGCCTGGTCTCACGGCTGTCCTGCCCCAACCCTACTGAGGTGTTGGGATTGCAGGCCTGCACTACTAAGCTGGCATACCAGCTTCTTCGCCAGAAAAAATAAAAGATAAAAATGATCTCAAACCAACTCGAACAATGTAAAAAGTTTCATTAGAGAAATGTTTTAAAATACCAGGCAAGCGTCTTTTAGCTCTTGCACTTAGGAGATAAAAGATGTTTTTAACCAAAATCTTGTTTCCCATAGAATCTGATACCATTTCCAACATGGAAGTAATATAGAATATTGTAAAAGCATGGGATGCAAAGGGAGATCTTCGAACTCCTAGTGGTAGAGGCTGGCATATATGGAAATATGTGGCCCTGGTGGCACCAGGGCCACCAGCTTAGGCTCTAGCTCAGCCCTTTCACTGCACCAGCATCTCTGAAGGGGCTACTTTTTAGGTTTTCACTTACTTCCTTAAGGGACTCTCTTGGGAGAAACAGAATTATTAACATATATAAGCTAACTAAATTTGGTGTTAGAATAAAGGAAGGCATTTCTTCCCTAGTATAGAGGTGCTTTCTGGAGAACTTGGGTTTTTGGCATTCACTGGTGACATGGCAGAAAAACATGTTTAATCATACATATGTAATTTATACTTCATACACAGTGATTCCCAACACTATCTCCTTTCAAGTCTTTTATGTGAAGGTGTAAACAAATATTGGTCATTACTGTTTAGTTCTTTTTTTTCTGTTTTTCTGTTTTTCTTTTTTTACTTTAAAGTGTTGCATTTTGGAACTATATTTGTAGCATACCAATTTCAAAATACAAAAGAATATATATATTCCTATTGTCTTAGGATTCTTGTTGCTGTGACCAAAAGGGATGTGGGGAAGAAAGGGTTTATTCTTACAGCTTGTTGTCTGTCCGTCATCCAGGGAATCAGAGTAGGAACACAAAGGGGGAACATGAGAGGCAGGACCTGAGGCAGAGGCTGTGGAGGAGTGCTGCTTACTGCCTTGCTCCTTGTGGCTTGCTCAGCCTGCTTTCTTAACATAATTCAGTACCACCTGCCCAGTGGTGGCACTGCCCACAATAGGCTGGGCCCTCCCACATCAGTTATTACTCAAGAGAATGCCCCACAGACTTGCCTACAGGCCAATATTATGGAGGCATTTTTCTCAAGATTCCCACTTTCCAGATATGTCTAAGTTCATGTCAAGTTGACAAAACCCAGCACATGTGTTCCTTATTTTCTCACCAAAGCAGTTTGTGCTATCAGTTCTTTCAGTTTCTTAATATCCTCCAGGCTTTGTCTGTATTCAAGCCAGTTCCAGCTGTGCATATCCTGATCCACACAGGCCTGTAATTCCAGTGCTTGGTAGCTGAAAGAACAAGATCTGAAGTTCAAATACAGCCTGGGCAAGACCCTGCCTCAAAAATAGAAATAAAACACAAAGTGTGTATTCTCTAGTGAAACATGCCAAGCCTATGTAGCAGCCCATGTGTTTAATTAGCCTCTGTTGTGGTAGAGAGTTGACTGTAAATGGAGTGGTTGTCTAGACAGACTCAGAGCTGCCACGTGATTCTGGAAAGCTCGGGTCATTGTAGTAGGGCCAGGTACCGACCTACCCAGTGAAGCTGCTTTGTGGCCATCACTAGGCATCAGCAAGAATGAATGTTGTGTTCTGCACTTGTTCCTACACTAGCAACATGAAACAGGGCTCTAGCCTGGTTTTGCCTTTTAATTGGTTCTAAGACCACCTTTGGTTAAGCTAAAACACAAAAGATTGTATCTTCTACGTCACCATTCACATTGGGGAGTCTGGAGCAACTGCTGGCTTACTACAGACCAGCAAGTTAAAAGTAGTTTTACTTATTGTCTTGTCTTTGTAACATATAAGTAAAAAGTACATGTTAAATCCTATGTTCATTTGTTTTACAACTGGCTTTTCTTGAAGCACTCATTGCTCAGAGCTGAGTAAACTTCAAGTGCAGTGCGTTAACACTTAATAGATAGCAGCAGTAGCAGCATCTGTCTTTAACCTTCTAGGGTAGGCTATATAAAAAAGTAACTTTTTTCTGTCAAAACAACCAGTTTAGAAAATATTACATGTGATTTTAAATATGTATATATGTGTATATACACATACACTTGGAAAAGTATAAACTTGTTTGAATAAACTATAGAAATCTATCTATCTGGACATGGTGGGAAACACCTTTAATCCTAGCATTTTGGAGGCAGAGTTAGGTGGATTTCCATGATACAAGGCCACCCCTGGTCCACACAACAAGTTCCAGGCCAGCCAGGGTTACATAATGAGATTCCATGTCAAAAACCTAAAAATCAAATCTATCTAAAATAATATAAGTCTAAGATAAATGAGAAGAATATAAAGGTATATTTTAGACCAGTTTGTGTTGCTATCACAGAATCCCACAGACTTGAGGCTTTAAAATATTAAAATTAACAGAGGGACTGATAATGGCTTCATCACACCAAACCATGTGGTGGTCTTAATGAGAGTGGCTCCCACAGACTCATGTTTGGTCCCCAGTTGGTGAAGCTGTTAGGGAAGGATTAGGAGGCATGGCCTTATTGAAGGACCTATGTCATAAGGGTTAGTTGGTTGGGTTGGATTGAGACTGGTCTCTCTATGCTGTCTTGGCTGTCCTGGAATTCAAAGGTCTACAGCATTCCCAGTTAGTTCTCTCTGCCTTACCCTTGTGGATCAGATTTAAGTTTCAGCTACTTCTAGTACCATTCCTGCCTGCCTGCTGCCATGCTCCCTGCCTCCATGGTCATGGACTCTAATCCTCTGAAACTGTGAGCCTCCAAATTAAATGTTTTAAAGTTGCCTTGTTCATAGTGTCTTGTTACAGCAATAAAAAAGTAACTAAGACACCATCTAGCTAAATTGGTGAGCTCAGGTTCAGGGAGAGACCTTGTCTCAAAAATAAGGTGAAGAGAGTTAATAAGATGGCTCAACAGGCAAAGTTATGCAAACATGGTGGACCTGAACTCTGTCCTTAAAACTCAGGGGCTGGGTAGAGAGAACTGACTCCACAAAATTGTTCTCTGACTTCCACATGTGTACAGCGGTACTCACTCTTCCTCCACATACACATCATACAAACACGCAACAATAAAACTTTAAAAAATTTAAGATTGAGTGCTCACTTTGGCAGCACATATACTAAGATTAGAGTGATACAGAGATTAGCATGGCCCCTGTGTAAGGATGACATGGGAATTTGTGAAGCATTCCATATTGTTGAAGAAGTAAAAAAAAAAATAAAATAAAAATTAAGGTGGATTGATAGAGGAGACACCAGACATCATTGACCTCTGGCCTTGGAGCTTGTTGACTCCCCTATCTAGCTGAACCAGTGAGGGAACCTGTTTCATGAATAAGATGGAGAACATTTGAGGAACACACAAACACAGGCACTTAGAAATGTGAACACATATATGCCACACGTACACACACACACACAGTTAACAAACCAACCCCATGATATCCATTCATGAGGGAAGAGCCCTGTTGCTGTGTAGCTCTCTCTGTGTGCCTATAATACTATTACAACAGAAATTAAGCTGTATCATAAATTTGGAAGGACACAAGCATTCAGACTTTAGCAAAACATGTTCTTATGTTAACTATACATTTAATATTCTCTTCAGCCACCTTCCGAAGAGAACATTTTAAAATCTGAGGACATGTCCAATGGCTCAGAAGTTAAGAGCACTTAGCTACTCTTACAGAGGACCTGGATTGAGTTCAGTGCCCACTTCAGGTGAATCTTTAACCCCAGCTCCAGGGGATCCAATGTCTCTGTCTCCCTCAGGCACCATCACTGATGAGCACATGCACACATACCTGTACACAATAAAAAGATAAGTCTTTAAAATAAACTTAATGGAAAATAATGTGTAAGAATAATTTTGAAATATTAAAAAGAAAGCAATACTACTCCATCCTGTATAAATTACTCATGTGCTTAAATTACATTAAAACTAAGTTCCACATGCTGATATCGGGCATCATAGTATTTTTTTTATGTCACATTCTAGGTGGATTAAATATTTAAATTTAAGGAACAAAACTATGCAAATGTGAAAAGAGAATATAAGTGAACATTTCTTTAATCGCATATGGGAAAAACTAAAGTAGAAAAAATAGTGACAGATTATTGGCAGAAGCAGCCAGTCAGAGACCTGATAGACACACTTACCACACAGAAATAAAATCACAATGCCCTCCATTAGATATTTGTTCTTTTCTTCCTTTTTTTAAATACAGGCAAAAGGATTTATCTCCTGAGGGAAAAATAGCAACACAAACACAGTAAGTAAGAGGAAGTGGTGAAAATTGTGACTAATGGGAACTTATTGGCATACGTTCAGTTCACAGGCACTCTGTAGACTGTAAAAATGCCACCCACCCTACTATGCAATGGTACAGCAGCCTGCAGAATGGCCATGCAGCCCCAAGCAGTGTTTTGCTGTGTAAAAATGCAGCTTAGTAGTAGAGTGCTTGCCTATCATGCTTAAGGTCCTCAGTGACATAAAACATATATCTTTAAAGTCAGGTCTTCTTGAGCCGGTTTGACTATTTATATACCTAAACATCCATTAATCTAAATTAGGAAATTAATACTTAAATTCTCATTAGTTTTTAAAGGTCTTAGCATAAAAAATTTCTTTTTCATGTTTTATTTGGTTAGTTGACTCAAACATGCTTGATTTTTCTTTTTTCATCTGTTTTTGGTTTTCTCTTTGTTTCTTCTGGCTTACATGATTTGTTCTTCTAAAGTTGAATTATCCAGTTCATTTTCAGTATTTTTCTATTCTTTTAAGATTGATAATATAAATGAAAGTTTATGTTTCCAATTTCTGGCTATTGAACATTCCATGCTTGAGCAACTGTCTTTGGTAGGATGGAGCATTTTTTGGGTATATATACCCCAGAGTCGTATAGCTGGATGTGGTGATACATTACTTATGATTTAGTAAAGCTTGCCTGAGGATTCAGAAAGCAAAGTCAGCCACAAGTCATGAAAACCAGGCGCACACCTTTAATCCCAGCAGCCAGAAGCTAGGAGGTGGTGGTACATACCTTTAACCCTAGGACTCAGGATTAAGAGATAGATGGATCTCTGAGTCCAAGGCCACCAATAGCTACACAAGATTGATCCAAGCCTAAAGAGAAACAGCTCTCACAAAGATGATCTCAGTACATGGGATCAAATGCCTTTAATCCCAGTATTAGGGAGGTATTTAAAACAGGAGCAAGGTCTCGGTATCAGCATTCATTCTCCAGCCACGTTGAGGATAGGAAGGCATTTAGTCTCAGGATTCTCCTGCCATGCTGAGGAGAAGCAGCAGGATCAGCCCTTTCAGCCTGAGGTAGTGGTAAGAGCTAGTGGCCCAATACTTTGCTTTTCTGATCTTCAGATTGAAACTTCAACCTCTATATCAGTCTCTAGGTCTTTTATATATTGTGTTACAGCTAGATCTGGAGATAGGTCAATTCTCATCTTCTTGAGGAACCACCACCACACTGAATTCTGTTGTGTCTGTACAAGTTCACAGGCCCACCAGCAGTGAATGAATGTTCCCCTTACTCCACATCCTTGCCAGCATGAGCTGTCATTTGTGTTACTGTCTTAGGTGTAAGACAAAAATCTCAAAGTCGTTTTAATTTGCATTTTCCTAAGGATGTTGAACATTTCTTGTGTTTCTCGGCCATTTGTGTTTCCTCTTAAGAATGCTCTGTTTGATCTGATCTGGTCCTCATTTTTTAATTGAGTTGCTTGTTTTCTTGATATCTGGGTTTTTTTTTTTCAAGTTCTTTATATATTTTGGTATTATCTCTCTGTCAGATGTATCATTGGTAAAATCTTTCCCCGTTCTGTAGACTGTCACCTTGTTCAAATGATAGTGTTCTCTGCTATGCAGAAGCTTTTCAGTTTCAAAAGAAACTGAAATAAATAAAAATTATTGATCCTAGTGCCTGTGCTATCAAGTCTGTACCATGCCAAAACGTTTAAAGCTATTCCCCATTTTCTTTTCTATCAGGTTCAGTGTATCTGGTTTTATGTTGAGGTCTTTGATCCATTTTCAGTTAAGTTTTATGCGGGTTGAGAAATACAGATCTATTTGGATTCTTTTACATGCAGCCATCCAGCTTGACCAGCACCATTTGTTGAAGTTGTTGCCTTTTCCCTGCATGTATTTCTGGTTTCTTGACCAATATGTCTGTTTTGTACCAATACCATGCTGTTTTTATTACTTACTATAGCTCTGTAGTACAGTTTGAGGTAAGGGATGGTGATAGTAACTCTAGCAGTTCTTTTATTACTCAGGACTGTTTCAGCTATCTTTGCTTTTTTGTTTTGGTGTGTGTGTGTGTGTGTGTGTGTGTGTGTTTCCATATGAAACTGAAAATTTGAGAATTGTTCTGTCAAGACCTGTGAATGGAATTTTGATGGGAATTACATTGAATCTGTAGATTGCTTTTCAAGAATGGTCATGTTTACTGTGGTAATCCTACCAACCCATCTTTTTCAGTTTCTTTAGTGTCTTAGGTTTTTTTTTTTTTTTTTTTTTTTTTTTTTTTATTAATCATATAAGTCTTTCATTTGCTTGGTTAAAGTTATTTGATGCTGTTGTGAAAGGTTTTGTTTCCCTGAGTTCTTTCTGTCTGTCATTTTTATATAGGAAGGCTGCTGATTATGAGTTGATTTTTGTCTCTAACTACTTTGCTGAAAGTGTATTTTATCAGCTGTATGAGTTTCCAGTGGAATTATTAGGACCACTATCATATGTAGCACAAATTCTAATCGTTCTTAATAATAAAAATTCAGTCAGATATTGGGGTTAAAGTTGAAGGTCAGAGAAGCAAAGCAGCCAGCCACTAGAGAGTTCTTACCTCTACCAATGCTCAGACCAAAGGGGCCATCCTGTTTTCAGACTGCATCCTTAGACTGCTTAGACTGCACTGCTCCTCAGATGGCCTCTCTGTCTTGTCTCCTCCTGTCTTGTATTCCTCTCTCTGTATCACTCCTGTTTCTACCTCCCTAGTGCTGGGATTAAAGGCATGAGATCCGAAGTGCTGGAATCACCTTTGTATGAGCTCTGTTTCTCCTTTAGACAGATTCAATCTCAAGGCCCAGGGTGGCCTTGAACTAACAGAGATCCCTTTATCTCCCAAATTCTGGGATTAAAGGTGTGCAACACTACTGTCTGACCTCTATGACTAACTAGTATGCCTAGCTTTGCATTCTGTTCTTCAGGCAAGCTATATATTTGTTAGATCATAAACAAAATATCACCACAATCAAATCATCTGCAAATAAAGACACATTGACTTCTTTCTACTTTATATCTCCTTGATCTTCTTCAGTTGTCTTATTGCTCTAGCTAAGACTTAAGCTAAGACTATGTTGAATAGATACGGAGAGATGGATAACCTTGTCTTGTTCCGATTTTAGTGGAATCACTTTGAGTTTCTCTATTGAAGATAATGCTAGCTATGAGCTTGCTGTAAACTGTCTTTATTATGTTGAGGTATGTTCCTTGTATCCCTAATCTCTCCAGGACTTTATCCTAAAGGGGTGTTGGATTTTGTCAAAGGCCTTTTCTGCTTCTAATGAGATGATCATGTGGTTTTTAATCTTTCAGTTTGCTTATGGTGGATCTATATATGTTGAACCCTCCCAACCCCCAACCAACCCCCCCATGAGGAAGCCAACTTGATTATGGTGATCTTTTTGATGTGTTCTTGTATTCAGTTTACAAATATTTTACTGAGAATTTTTTCATCTATGTTCAAAAGGGAAATTGGACTGTAATTTTGAGTCTTGAGATTTGAGTATCAGGGTAACTGTGGCCTCATAAAATGAATTGGGCAGAGTTCCTTCTGTTTCTATTTTGTGGAACTATTTGAAAAGTGTTAGTATTAATTCTTTGAAAATGTGATAGAATTCTGAGCTAAAACCATCTGGCCCTGTTTTGTCTTTTTATTGGTAGACTTTTTAATTACTGCTTCTAAATAGAAGTAATAAATAGGGGTTATAGGTGTGCTTAAATTGTCTGATCTTGATTTAATTTCAGTAGGGGGTTATATATGCATCAAGACAATTATCCATTTCTTTTAGATTTCCCAATTTGATGGAGTACAAGATTTTAAAGCCTGTCCTTATGATTCTCTGGATTTCCTCAGTCTATTAATTTACTTCTTTTCTCTGCCTTTTAGTTAAATTTGGCTAAGGGTTTGTCAATTTTACTGATGTTCTCAAACATCACCTTACTGATTCTTAGTATTGTTTTTGTTATTGTTTCTATTTTATTGATTTCTGTCCTGAGTTAGATATTCTTGCCATCTACTCCTTTTGGGTGTGAGTTGTTTTAGTTCTGGAGCTTTCAAATGAGATCTCTTCTTTTTTGTACTATAGGCACCTAGTGCTTTAAACTTGCCATGTAGAATCACCTTCATTATGTCCCATAAGTCTGGGTATTTGTATATTCATTTTCATTCAATTGTAGAAAGTTTTAAATTTCTTTCTTAATATATGTCTTGATCAAGTTTTCATTCAGTAGTGAATTGTTCCGTTTCCATGAGTTTGTTTCTGTTGTTGCTGACATCCAGCTTTGATCCATCGCTGCCAGAGAGGATACAGGATGTTATTCCAGTTTTCTTGTATCTGTTAAGTCTTGGCTTTGTGACCAAGTATGTGTTCAATTTTGGAGAAAGCTCCATGAGCTGCTAAGAAGGAAGTATATTTTTTAGTGTTTGAATGGAGTGTTCTATAAATATCTGCTAGGTTCATTTGGTTTATGATGTCACTTGGCTACAACATTTCTCTGTTTAGTTTTGTCTGTTTATTGGTGAGAGTGGAGTGTTGAAATCACTTACTATCTCTGTGTGAGAGTCAATATGCGATTTAAGCTGTGGTAGTGTTTCTTTATGAACTTAGGTGCCCTTGTGTTTGGTGCATAGAAGTTAAGAATTGCAATGTCCACCTGGATTTTTCTTTTGAATATGTAGTGTCCTACTCTAGCTCTTTTGATTAGTTTTGTTTGAAGTCTATTTTTGTCAGATATTAAAGTGGCTCCACCAGCTTTCTTCTAAATGGACATAAAACATCTTTTTTCATCCCTTTACTCTGAGGTGATGTCTATCCTTGATGTTAAAGTGTGTTTCTTGAATGCAGTAGAAGGATGGATCCTGTTTTCCATCCAGTCTGTGATTTCCTTTTTGTTAGGGAATTAAGACCATTGGTGTTGATAATTATCAATGAACAGTATTTGTTAATCCCTGTTATTTTGGTGTGTGTGTGTGTGTGTTTCCCTTCTTTGGTCTAGCTGCTGATCTACAATTATTTATTCCTTGTATTTTATTGAATGTGGTTAACCTCTTTAGATTGAAGTTTTCCTTCTAACATCTTTTATAGGGCTGGATTTGTAGATAGATATTGCTTAAACTTGGTTTTATCTTGGAATATCTTATTTTCCTTATTGTGATTGAAAGTTTGGTTGGGTATAGTTGTCTGAGATGGCATCTGTGGCCTTAGTGTGTAGAACATCTTTTTGTTCTACATTAGGCTTTAAAGTCTACACTGAGAAGTTAGGTGTTATTATAATAGGTCTTCCTTTGTATGTTACATGATCTTTTCCCCTTGCAGATTTTAATAATATTCTTTCTTCATTCTGTATATTTAGTGTTTTTTATTATTGCATGCCAAGGAGAGTTTCTTTTCTTGTCTGATATATTTTCTGTGCCTTTGCCCTGGGTTTCTTCTCCTTTCCTTATTCCTAATCTTCTTTGATGTGATCATTTCATAGTGTCTCAGATTTCCTGTTTTGTGCCAAGATTTTTTTAGGTTTAACATTTTCTTTGACCAAGGTACCCATTTCTTCTATCATGTCTTCAATGCCTCTCTCATCTCTTGTATTCTGTTGGTGAGGCTTGTCATGAGGTTCCTGTTAGAGTTCCTACATTTTTCATTTGTGGATTTTCCTCAGTTTGGGTTTTTTCTTTATTAATTCCACTGTCAGTCAGGTCTTGAATTGTTATACTCATTTCCTTACACTGGTTGTTTGTGTTTTTATAGGTTTCTTTAAGGGATTTATTCATTTCCTCCTATGCTCCAGCTGTGTTGCAGTTCTCAAAGCCTACAATGATTGTAATTCTAAGTGCTGACGTCTGTCTTGTCTTTGGTGGGTGTTTTGTTACTTGGTTTCTGTTTCTTCTCTGGTTCTTAGAACTTGGTGGCTGTGTGGTGCCAAGTGTGGCCATTTGGGGTTTCAGGTAAAAGTGTTTCTAGGTATTGGAAGCTGACACTTGGGAATGACGATGGGCTTGGGAGTGGTTTGAAGGGGTCCACAGGAAGGAAGAAGACTCCTCTAGAGTTTGCTTAGTCACCTAGGAATGGGGCAGAGTGAAGAGAGACCACAACAGGTAGTCTGCCACAGAGCTAGGGGTGAGATTGGTGGATTGGATTTGTAGAAGAGGGAGAGTAAAACCAGCAATTACCCTACTTGCTCCTCTGGCTGGCTTGGCTTACAGTTTCCCAGGGAATGCCTGATGTAGTTGGGGACTGGGATAAAGAGATGAATAGAGGTAAAGAAGGCCAAAGGGGAAGATCTGTGTGGTCTGCTGGAGATGGGGGAGAAGGGGGAAAGCGGGAAGGGAGGCCAAGGCAGATGGTCTCCTACTGAACTGGGGTGAGACTGAGGAATTGGGTGTGGAGGAGAGAAGGGAGAGATGAAGATCTGCAGTTAGCTTACTTGCTCCCTGGCCAGTGGGTTTCCAGAGAATTCAGTCCACTTCTTTTTATTAAGGCTGACTAGGACTCCATTGTGACAAACCACAATTGTTTACCTGTTCATCTCAATAGACATCTAGGCTTTCCTACTTTCGCACAACAATAAAATAGTGCTGCTAAGAATACACAAGAATTTATTTTCAGATCTTTGGGATATATCACATGATAACCCTATTTTCATTTTGTTTTGTTTTTGAAGACTCTCACTGTGTATCCCTGGATAGCCTAAAACTCCTTGTGTAGACCAAGCTGGCCTTGAACTCACAGAAATCCACTTGCTTCTGCCTCTGAGCACAGGAATTAAAGGTGTGCATTACCAGGCCCAACTCTTTAACTTTTTGAGAAACAACAAAACTGTATCATTTGATGCTATATAATATTTAATCTTTTCTGAGAAATATGTGGGTTATTGTGTATGTCATGTGCCACAGCAGGGAGTCATTTTTCTCCCCTTTACATGGCTTCTGACAGTGGAATCTGGCTTGTCAGGCTTGCCATTACCATTACCAGCCCATATGTGTTATTTTTCACATATTACCATTATAAGTACTGATAAGTTATGAGGTGAATACTGCTACATAAAGGGGTGAGTTATTAAATAATCTGAGAAGCTTAAATACATTTTTTTGTTCCCTGAAATTTTTGTGTTGATTAATTACTGGCATTATTTCATGAAGTGCATCATGAATGAATGTAAACCAAAATGCTTTTGTTTTTAATCTAATAACTAACATTGGTAAACATTTGGTGTGATAAATGAAGGAAGAACAAGAATATTTATACTTTACCTTATTTTAGTTCAGGTCAAACATTAGAAAACTTGCCTCTTCGTGGTTCTAAGGGAGTTTGGGGGTTTGATTTTTTTTTTTTTTTTTTTCTTAACAGTCTTGCTACGTAGCTTTGGCTAACCTCAAACTCTTAGCAATCCTCCTTCCTCTTCTCAACAGCTGGGATTACAGACATGTACATGACACACTTGTCCACACCTAATTCTTTTCCATTCTTTCTTTTCCCACAGTTCATCCATGAGCTCAGATTTCCCACATTACAACTTCAGGATGCCTAATATTGGATTCCAGAATCTGCCTCTCAACATATATATTGTGGTTTTTGGCACTGCTGTATTTGTCTTCATTCTTAGCTTGCTCTTCTGTTGCTACTTGATTAGGTAATCAATTTTATTATTTCCTGATATTTCTACCATAAGGTCAAAATATGTGTAAGAATGGGCCAATCTTCTAAGGCCATAGTGGGTTAGCATTTTAGCTGTCTGTGACTTGGTGTTCAGTAACCCACATTTGTACAATCTTCAATCCTATCAGCTGATGAAATGTTTTACTCTATAGTAGAAAATGGTCTTCAATAGTTCTTCCACAATATTAGCAGCCCGTCCAAATATACTTAATCATCATCTCCAAAACTTAACCTACTTTCTCTTTGTAAGTTTTGTTTTGAGACAGTCTCAATCTATGCATCCCTGACTGACCTGGTACCCATTATGTAGACCAAGCTGGCCTTGAACTCATAGAGATCTGTCTGCCTCTACATCTGGAGTCCTGATTTGGTCTATTGGGAGTTGCTCTTGTAGAAGGCATTTGCATCACTGTCATCTGACGTCACCATGGGTCAGAAAATATCTTAAGACAAAAGCTATGCCTTAAAAAGCCTCTTGCAGCTGGTCTTTCAAGACTAAACACCTCTGTGTTGCAAAAGTTGGGTATTCATGTAATTATCTATCTGCATAACACACTAAACATTCCACACTGCAAACATTAATTATACACAGAGGCATGGGATAGAAGAGGTCATCTCACTTGGGGTGAGGTGACAGATTTTGTCACTAATGATTCACTCCTGGCTGAGTTGTTATCTAAACACTTTTACCTTTTACATTGTTAAATAGAACCTAATTTTCAAAGCCCAAACTAACTTTAAAAATTCTGTGTAGTAAGCCAAGTTTAATAGCAGATACTTGTGTCTCAGCCCTTCCGAGGTGGAGCCACATGTTCAAGAGTTCAAGGCCAGCTAAGCTTTGTAGCAAGAACATATATCAATCAAAAAACAACAGTGCAAAGTGGTACACGAAACCAGGCATGTAATTATAGCACTGAGCATGCTAAGGCCAACTTCAGCTCTAAGTGAGTTCCAGGTGGGATAGAGTAAGACTCTGTCTCAAAAAAAATTATACACACTAGGGAAAGTGAGAGCAAGCGCATGGGCACACAAGCCAGGTGGCTCACACAGTCCTAATACTCAGGATGAAGCAGGTCTGTCCTACACAGCAAGACCCTGTCTCAAAGAAGAGGGTATAGTGTATGATAAAACCTAAAGAAAGTAGCAATAACTGCTGCATAGAACCTTAGGATTCTAATCATGGATAGGTAAAAAAGCAAAAAGAAATTATAAATCAAGTCCCTCTTCCCCTTCAGTACTAGGCTTATGCAGGCTAGACAAGCATTCTATCACTAAGCAATAGTCTAGAGCAAGCAATATACCAGAGCAAGAAATAATGATCATATTGAATTTTAGTCATAGAGCATAATAACTGGCTGCTTTCACTCTTGTGTGAATTCCAAGTAGATATACAATTAGGACCACCGGGCCAGGAAGGTAGATGCTAATGGAAAGAAGCTTATATGACAAATAAAATAGAGATATTATTTTAACCTGTCTCCCCAAGATTGTGTCAGAAAGGGTACAGCAGTGACTTTATGGATTGACAAAACTGAACTGACTGATTGACTGATTTAAGTTAAGTGTCAAAGGTTTGAACAGCTAAGGAACTACCATGAGAACTGAGGCTAAGGAGACATTAGGTATAAAATGGGATCCCAAGCTAGACTATTGCTAAAGAAAGGGCATGAGTGAGAAAAAAGCTTGTGAAATTCAAATGGGGCTATTGTTGATAGTTGGCTGATGTCCTGTCAGTATTATGCCATGTAGTTTTCTAGTTGTGGTAAGTATACTATGGTTCTATAACCATAGTATTGGGAAACAAGGAGAAAAGTATATGTGAGCTAAGCATGGTGGTGGTATAGGGTCCTAAGGTAGGGAGTTCTTAAGTCCAAAGCCAGTCAGGGCTACATAGTAATACTCTTGTCTCAAATCAAAAATATATATGGACTGTATATGTTTTGTGTGTTTGCTTTACAATACAAGTTTTTTATGTGCATGTATGTACCTACATGAATTTATGTGCACCCCATGTGTTGTGTAGGTGCCTTTGGAAGCCAGATAGCATTGGAACTGAAATTATAATCAGTTGTGAGCCGCCTGATGAGGGTGCTAGGAATGCAACACAGTTCCTCTTCAAGAGCAGTGAGTGCTCTTAGTTGCTCAACCATCTCTCCAGCTCCTAGAATAAAACAGGGTGTTAGTTTTCTAGGACCCTCTCAGAGCACTATAAAACAGATGAGTCCAGACAACAGAAGTGTCCCTCTCTTTGGGCATGTCCACTAGAGGCCTCTTCCTAGCATCTGGTGACAACCAGCAGTCAGTCCTTAGCTTTCCTTGGCTTGTGGATGCTGCTTTGCTTCTGCTCTGCAATCACTTGGTCACCTGGCCTCTTTCTCTCTCTGCCTGTTGACTAAAGATACCAGTCACACCAGATCCAGGATTCAGAGTTTTTGAGGGATGCCATTGGAGCCAGTGTGAAGGGCAGGAAGATGAAGCACTGGGGGCGGGTGCAAAGTCTATGAGAAAAATCACATGTTGCATATGACAGTTGATACCAGATATATATTGCTGCATTCATGGGGAAAGGAGGATCTTAATAAATGTTTTGAAGCCAGTATAAAAGCTGGTATAGGGATAAAAAGAATCTAGAACCCTACCTCACAACACACATAAAGTCTAGGCTCAGGTAGATCTCAAGCCCTAAATGCAGTAGGTAAAATAAATATAGCACATGGTTTTTCAGAATGTAGGACATTGTTTTGAGACTGTCTTGTGTAGCCCACCCTAGGTGGGCCCAAATGACTTGAACTTTTGATCCTTCTACCACTCTTTCCCAAGTGCTGGGGTAATAGGTTTTTACCTTCAAACATTGGCTTCAGGATTATTATCTTCTTAATTCTTGGCTAGGCGGACATTTCTGTAACAATGTAGAAAAAAGAATCTGTTAGGGCCTGTAGATTGGAAGAAACCAAACACAAAGGAGGGTGCACCAAGCAACCAATGCATGAGTTTAAAAGCAGACTTAGCTAATCTTCATAATCTACATTGATGGGTGATAAGAAGCCAAATAGATGCCAGGTTTTTTTGTTTTTTTTGGTTTGGTTTGGTTTGGTTTGGTTTGGTTTGGTTTTTCAAGGCAGGATTTGATTTCTCTGTGTAGCTCTGGTTGTCCTGTAAATCACTTTGTAGACTTGGCCTTGAGCTCACAAAGATCCTCCTGCCTCTGTCTCCCGAATGCTGGGATTAAAGGTGTGTGCCGCCACCACCTGGCAAATAGGGCCGGTTTTAAGGATGAACACTGATTGGGAGGGATCATTTCAGAAGCTTTGGGGATCCTGAGAATAATCTATATCTATCCTGATGTGACTGATAATTATTTCAACAGATGCATATTTTAAGTTTCTGAACTGTGTACTTAATTTTGGCACTTTACCGAATGTGTATCATAAGTTTTTTCATTAAGAATGAGACAAATAAGTAGACTTTCCTTAACATACAAAACCCTTTTCTTCATTAGAACATCTGGTGTAGTGAGTTTGTTTCAATGATATTTTACTAGAACTTACAATAGATGCTATCCCATGGCTCACTGGACACTTTCTCCAAAATCTCAGTATTAAACTGCTCATTTGTGTCTTTTAGGCTAAGACATCAAGCACACAAAGAATTTTATGCCTACAAACAGGTGAGCAATTTACAATTAGCTTTTATCATGCTTTGCAATAAACTTTGAGACTATTGTTCCATAGTTTAAAATGAGATTAGCTTAACATGGGTTCATTTTAGCTTTTCATTTGTCAGTCTGTAGCACAGAATGATCAATGATTTTCTCATGTGGTCTACTACTAGTATTTGAAACTATAGAAATTTTAGGTGATAGAATAAAATGACAGAATTTCAGTCAATATTTGCTAAAGAAAAATGCTGTCATCTGTAACCCTCAAGTTACCACTGACTTAATAGAGTGCACATCCCACTGAGTGGGTCCTCTCTTTCATGAACAATAAAGCAACTGCTCAAAGGAGACCAGATGTGTTTCTATGTTCTCTTCCTCAGGTCATTAGCCTTTTACCCATTTTTTTTTTTTTTTAATAACCTCAACTGGCTTTTGGTGGCGGTGGCAGGTTTTATTATTTTGAAACAGTAGCTTATGTGCCCAAGGCTGACCTGGAACTTATTTTGTAGTCTAGGATAATCCTGAACTGGAAGCAGTCCCTGTCATGGCCTAGCCTTGCTGGCACTGATGACACATTTTAGAGTTGTGTTTTCTTCTGTTTGACTATTGTGAAAGTGTTTGAAATGAATTCATTGTACACCTGTTAGTGACTACCCTGTGTTTCTCTCCAGTACTACCATATGGGTCTAAGACAGTTGAATGCTGTAGTTTTCTAAATGAATGAATCCTTTTGTCTCAGTTTTATCATACATAATCTTGAAAATCTACAAGGTACTTGTATGTAAGTAACTATAGAGTAAAATTGGTCTTAGTGGCCATTTAATAGGTAAAACTGACTGGAAACTAATCAGGTGAGATGAAAAGTAAACATGATACTAAGATGAGTAAGATTTTTAGCATATCATTCTGTGGCTGGATGGTAACTTGCTTGTGATTTTGGAAAACATGGTTTGCCTTCAAAACCATTTTCTATTTAAATGTCAAACACCCAAAATTTAGGGGTTTTCACCAAATTTAACTTGCCTGATTTTCCCATTTAAGATAAACATAAGTAGTCAGATTTGGCACAGATCTTTATTCCTAGCACTCAGGAGGCAGAGGCAGGCAGATCTCTTTGAGTTTGAGACCAGCCTGGTCTACATAGTGAATTCCAGGACAGTCAGAGCAACACAGAGACTCTGTCTCAACTGTCCCCCCACCACCTCAAGCAAGCAAATAAATAACTTTTTAAAAAAGATAAACATAAGTGTGTTCTGGGGTTAGGAGCCTCAGTGGTTAAGAATACTTGCTGCTCTTGCAGAGGGCCCATCCAGGTTTGATTGCAGGACTCATGTGGCTTATAACTGTAACTCTAGCTCCAAAGAAACAAGCACACACATGGTGCACAAATACACATGCAGGCAAAGAATCCGTGCTCATAAAATAATTTTTACTTGTGTGGGTGTTTTGCCCGTATGCTTGTCTGTGCACCATGTGCATGCCTGGTGCCCTTGGGCAAGAAGAGGGCATGAGAGTGGCAGATCTCTTGAGACAGGAGTTACAAAAGGTTGGGAGCCGCCATGTGGGTACTGAGAATGGAACCTGGGTCCTCTGGGAGGAGGAACAGTCAGTGCTCTTAACCACTGATATCTCTTCAGCCCCAAAATAATTTTTTTAAGGTAAGCCTATTCTCAAATTTTCCTTTTTGATGGAATCCTTGCCATGTCACATTCACTTTGGCTAATGTTTGTTACCACACACCCAGGACAAATCTAAATGAATTTTTCTGAGAACATGGATGTATAATAATAAGCAGACGTCCTGTGTGAGCAGATTTAATGAAGTCCATGAATGCCCGAATAAAAGAACAACAGATACTTATTTGGGGAGCACTCGTACAATAAAGGTAAATTGCCATCGCGGTCTTCTGCCCTTAAGAGGCACAGGATGCTGTGATGCAGAATGACAATCGGGTCTCAGACCATAACCCCAAGAGATAGCAAGTGCAACCCCTCCTCTTCCTTATAAGGGATCATGTCCATACACCAAATGACTCCAAAACTACTGGCAGAAATTAATTCTCACTACACTTCCGGAATTAAAATTGGCTTTACATTTTTATCTTTTATGAATTACTTGCATTGGCCAATGCCACTTAATTGTGGTTATTGCTTCCACCAGTTTCATTACAGTCCAGATAAGTATGTGTTAAGATTTGCTCTACTCAAAAAGATTCAGACATAGAGCTGAAGATGTAGCAGTTAGAAGAGGCTTGCCAAACATGCACAAGGTCCCGAGTCCAATCCTCAGCTCCACCTAAACTGGGCATGAGTACACGCCTGAAATCCCAGCCATTCAGGAGATGGAAACAGGAAGAACAAAGGTTAAAAATCATTATTAGCTACATATTGAGTTCAATAACAGCTTGAGTTACATGAGACCATAGCTTTAAAAAAAATAAAAATAAGTGCTCTTCAGAATATTTAAAAGAATGCTGTTAATCTCAGCACTCAGGAAGAAGACAGCTCTCCATGAGTTTAAGGGTAACTTGACCTATATAATGAATCCCAGGCTAGTCCTGCCTTACAAAAGGTTAGAATATTCTGTTTTAAATTGTAAAGGAGATTGTAATTTCAGTGTAAGGAAAATGAGCTAGATACATGTTTTTTTATATTCCTATATATATGCACATATAAAACATGCATATATTTGTCAACAGAATTGAGAAATTCTTTAATATTCTGTGCATGTAGCAGTAGGGATTGAAGCCTGAGCCTAGTACATGCTAGGCAAATACTGTGACCACTAAGTGCATATTCACATGGCTGGTGAGATGGTAAAGATACATGCCTACATATTTATATGGTTGTAAGAACATTTTTTTTAATCTTACAGGTTATATTAAAAGAAAAAGTAAAAGAACTGAATTTACATGAGGTAAGTTGCTTTTAAGTATTTTAATCTTTCCATGATTTTCTAATACCTTCATTTTCAGCTGAAAAAGATGGGCATCTCCCAGCTCCCTCTCCTGTGATGATCATTGTGTAGTATCACTTACTCTTGTCACTGTGACAAAACACCTGACAGCACTTAAAAGAAGGGAGGGTTTATTTGGGCTCAGTTTGGGTATTAATTCATCATGGTGAAGACCTGGCATTGAGACAGGCGTGAGCAATTTTAGGTGCATGAGCAGCTCACACTGTCCTCCAGTGAGAAGCAAAGAATCAAACACTGATGCTCACCAGGCTTCCCTGGCCCTCTCCCCCTTCTATATTCAGTGTGGAAACCCAGCCCACACAGAAGGTGTCTTCCTCTTCAGTTAGGCCTCTCTTGGAAACATCTTAACCCTTACACAAAGTCTCAAGATTTTTCAGGGGTTGTTTTTGAGACAGGTTCTCATTTGTAGCCCAAGGTATCCTTGGATTTACAACAGTCCTCCTGCATCAGCTTCCCATGGGCTTATAGGCATAACTCAACATGCCTGCTTTAAGGATCATGCTGACTTTGACTACAGATGCCCAGAATGTACAGCCTGATCCTCTCACTAGGAACCTTAGGGAGCCCTATGTCCTGATGCTTAGCTGAGTTTCAGGAACCCACACCATGTTTTGTGGTAGACACTGGCCTTACTTGGGACTTTGCCTTTTAGCTCTGTGCTGTGTGTCTAGAAGACTTCAAGCCTCGAGATGAACTGGGGATTTGTCCATGTAAGCATGCCTTCCACAGAAAGTAAGTACTGTATAACATTACTTAATGTGATTCAACTTATTCTAGGCTATGGGACATATCCAGCCAAGCTTGATGGCTTTATAATTGGTCTGTAATGCAAAAACTGACAGCATACCACAGGGTGGGGCACATGCATGTGTACGTGACATTAGGAGGGAACGGGGAAATGGAACATGACCACCACTGCAGGGTTGGGCAGAGATCCAGCATATCCTACACCTCTATAAACAGCTCTTTGGCTGGAATTTTCCAACAACTGTTTCCACCTCTTGAAGCTATATTTTAATCAAAACTAATTATTTCAAGTCACAATAAATAGTGCGGATATACATGATATTGTAGGATTACTTTCCTTTCTACAGACACATTTCATATCCCCTTCTGGAAACTTTGGTTTCTTTTATTTTTCTGGCTTCCCTACATCAGCATACTTTTAGGAAGTCACACATGACACAGTATGATGTGTTAGTTGTGGTAACTTTGTAACCTTGTGGGAGATAGAAAGCTCTGGCTTGTCAGAAGGTGATGTGGACTTGGGGCTGAGATCCCACCCTAGACTCCTTGCTTACTCTTAAGTCTAGAGCTGATGATGTCTTCCACCTGGCTGTCTTGTTCTGCAGGTGCCTTGTTAAGTGGCTGGAAGTCCGGAAAGTATGTCCCCTGTGCAACATGCCGGTGCTGCAGCTGGCCCAGTTGCATAGTAAACAGGACCGAGGTCCCCCTCAAGAGCCGCTCCCTGGGGCAGAGAACATTGTATAGCTTGCTGCAAGAATCAGACTTGCTGGATGCATCCGTGTGGAGCCAGGAGGAATACAGCAAACTTTGTTTGGGCTGCTCTCTGCCTGGGGCACCCACTGTCTCTTCCTTTGCTTCATGAAGAACTCCTGAGCCAGGCAAGCTGAGACCCCAGGCATCTGGATCTTGTGACAACCAAAGCCCTCTGACATCATCCTAGGCCAAGAGGAGTGGATAAGCCTGCAGGTTTGGTTTCAGAAATTCCCTGAGTATCTCTTGCTGTCTCCCAGGCACCTCCACATCAACCAGAAGGGAAGATAACATGGATGTTAGAGAAATGAACTGAGAATGAGACTTTAATGCCACACCCACCTGTGGACCTATAAGCTGCTGTATAGACCTCACCTGCCTCTGTTGCCACAAACCCTCTTGGCATCCTGAATGGTGAAACCAGCTGCTCCATCAGCTGAAGCACAACTGGCTGCCAGTGTTTGGTGAGGTAGCCCCTGCAAGGCTCTTCGGGTTCTATGCCTTTACTAAGGCCTTCTTGGAACCTGAAGACTATGGGAGCAGCAGCAGCAGAACCTCTCGCCATACACACACTGGTTCACACTTGCTGTCAAATCTTCCAAGTTGAAGCCATTAGACACTTGGAAAGGCCTGGTCAGGAACCATTCCTCTTCTGTTTTCCTTCCTAGTCAGCAGTAAGACCCAGCAGGAGCTTGACCCTGAACCTCCACTGTCTTGTGTAACCCAGGAGCCAGGGTACTGCTTAATACCCCACAAACGCAGTATGATTCCATTTCAGCTGCTGGCCTCAGTCGGCTCCAAAGAGGAGCTCCTTTCTCAGCAACGCCGGTCCTTACCCACCTGGATGACCGGGGCGCTGACACTTTGCTTTTTTCCTTCTTTCTCTCCCCTCCTCTCTTCTGCTCCTTTTCTACATAAGAAAAACGGTCTTACTGAATTTTTAAACATTTATCCCAAATAAGCTCTCCTGTAATTCTGAAGCGTGAAGCCAGTGAGCCACTTGGAGTTGTAAATAGTTTGAGGAAACTCCTGCATGGCTGACCTTCTGTTGGTGTGTACCTCAGTTATTTGGACTTGGTATCCCTAACTGAAGGTGTTTTTATATGAGAAATGCATGCTGCTCTTTGGCTTTTCTGTCCAACTTTTCCAGAGATAATTGCCTCCAATGGGCTTTGTGGACACTGTAAATTAGCCATTAGCCATGTAAAAAGCACAGAACATTCTTTTTACACAGCTTGCTCTCCCCTCCCTCGTTGCAACAGTGCCCTCTGTAATGCCTCATCAACTGTTCTGCCCTGCTGTCCCACAGTTGTGAGGAGGAAGTTTTTTGCAGGAAGTACAGTCTGGCATGGGGGGGTGGGGGGGGCTTTGCTACTCTGTTCTTGGCATCTACCCAATCTTAGAATGAGAGGAGACCTGCCTTTGCTCCTGGTAACTGAGGTCAGATGGGGAAGAAAATTAAAATTCCTATTTGTCTAATGTTAAAGTGCTAAGGAAGCCAAATGTGGTACACACACCTGTGTAGTTCCAGCTGAGGCAGGCAGGGTCACAAATTTGAGACCAGTCTTGGCTTCATAGTGAGATCCTCTTGCAAAAGGGGACTGGGGGGGGGGGGCGGTTCTTGGCAGAGTCCATTTGGAAAATTACAAATCTGGCTGGTAAGAATTAGTTGTCCCCAGTGTGTGTTTTATACAGAGCAATTCCTATACAGAGCAAGGACGTGTTAACCGTTTTCTGAGAGCCTTTGCCTGATTGGCCCCAAGAATTCATGCCTATGTTCCTCTTGCTCCTGTTAGGTTTGTAGCCCCAGAGTCAGATGCCCAAGCACTCAGTTTACAGTAAATGTTTCTTATAGGGTAGCATCCATCATTTCATATTCCGTAACTGGACACAATAAGAAGTTACTACCGCTCACAGCTTTTGTAGAATCCTGACGTTTCGCTGCAGCCTTTTCTTTCCCTGTCCTTATTACTAAAAAGCCAACTTCACCAAATCTCTGTTATGTAGAAAGGCAAAATTGCTTATCAGACAGGTTGAGGTGGTGGTGTGCAGCCTGAAAAGTCAGTCAGTCATCGGAAAAGTACTGGGGGTGCTTTGCTTTTCTTTCACCAGGACACTCATTCTGCTGGGCCTGAATAATTGTTTCTGCCCAGCCACTGTTAATGTGATTCTTCCTAAAAGACATTCCTTGACTGGAAGAAGCTACAACCGTGCAAAGTTTGGTTCTCATCTCCCTTCCTTTGGCTTGGTGATCACCTCCTGCTTCAACAGCCCAGTCACACCTCTCAGTCATTCTGCCCCATTCATGCCTGATGTCTGGGTCCCCCACCAATGTTTTCTTGTACATTTACAGTTGGCTGAGCCATATTCTGCTCAAGCCTAAACCTGCAATGAGGCCATCACTTCTTAAGTGTCTGGTAACCTTTATGTGTGGGTTTGTGAGGATTTTGGTCTACTCTTGAACTATTTGAACTCAAGCCTCTTACGTAGCTAGAGGATTGGGTGTTACTTGTAAGCTATGGGTTAGTAGAGCATAACTCAGTCCTTGCTGGGCTTAATGCCATGATCATTATTGCCTGGAACTCAACTGAATTTGGTTGGCATTAGAAATGAAACAAAATCAGATTCCTACTTGAGTCTCTAACATATAGATGTTGACATCTGTTTTAGTTTGCCATGTATAATTTTGTTTGGCCCATCCCTGACTATTATGGTTCTTATAGCATGTGCTTACCTAACCAGGAAGTGGGACAAACAGCCAGGTAGGGAGAGGTGGCCTCTGGGTGAGGTCTGTACTGAGGAATACAGAGGACCTTCCACCACTGCCAAATACTGTTCTTGACAAGACTTGACAAAAGATCTTTTCCATGGCTCTGTTGCAAAGCATGTTGACTTTGAACAGCCACTCTGACTATGCTAAACACCCTACAGCTCTTACTTTCTGGGAATTTGAGATGACCATAGAGGTTCCAGGGAAATCTATGCAGAAGTGCTTGCACAAGTTTGAATTGTCCACTCAGCGTTCACTTGCTTTGTGCTTTTCTTCATGTCAGCCTCCCAGAGCCTCCTTTCCTTAGCCACTACCCAGGAATTGTAGCAAGGTTCCTAGAAGACATTCCCGTCCAGTCTGGAGGGCACAGGCATGAGAAACACCAGGAGCTACAGATAGTATATACCTTCCTGGTAACAAACTGAAGAACTTCTTGAACTGTGGGGCTTCCCCTGGCTCTGCCAGTCAATTTTTTTGTGACAGGTTCTATGTACTCCTGGTTGTCCTGAAACTGTAGACCAGGCTGACTTCAAAGTCAGAGATCAGTTTCCTCTGCATCTACTACAATTAAAAGCAGGGAACCATGCTTAGCCTCCACACTGAATCCTGACTTGGTTGCTCAGTCTTCCTTTGAGTCTTTGAATAGGTTAATCCTTCACAAAAATTCAAATATCACAGCAGTTGTCTTCCTTGCCAAATTCTATCCCATGAGCACTCAATTCATTACTTGTTCCTTTTGTCTCCTCTCAGGGGTAGGGGTACATGTGGAGAGAGACTATACAGAAAGCCATCCCAGAAGTGAAGATAGCTATATGAAAGGTGAGCCAGAAGTGGAGGCTGCTCTTGCATTCCTTTTGTGTAGATTCCTTTACAGACTGTCCCTTACTCCTAATAAAACAGCACAGCTGCTTTTCCTTACCCTCTCCAGAATGACAGTCTTCCCTCTAGCACTAAACAATTTCTTCAGGTGCCTGGACCAGCTGCCTCTCAAGCTGCAATGGTCACTTAGTTGGAAATCATGGATCAAGATAGAGGTCTCCTAAGTCCCCAGGGCTAACAGTCATTACACCTAAGTATCTGCAAATGAGACCCTATAGAAGTAAATCCTTCCTATAGAATTCCCCCCTCACTTTCTGATTAACAGAAATCACTGTTTTCTAAAGTTCATTTTGCCCTCATGATTTAAAAATTAAAACAGCCTACTCCAGGCAACCATAAGGGAAAAGCAGACATGTGCCTTGCTCTCTAGCATCCACCAACCAACGTCTTTGCCCCACTCACCTGCTTCCATGCAGCCCAAGAAGCACCCCAGTGAGTAAAGTGTGCCTGTGCTTACCCGAGATGAACCTTGAAAAGTGGAGACCCATCTTTATGGTACTTCATACCTCCAGCCTGGTTAATCAATTAAGAGCACCCAGAAGACAAGACCCAGGTTCAGCTCCCAGAGATTTCTTCTGGCATTTGAGGGCACCAGGTACACACATATATAGGCAAGCAAACACTCATACACATAAAAGTGAATCTTTTAAAATTTTACCTAACATGGAAGCATCACAGTATTTAAATCTTAGAGATGACCTGAAATGCCAGGTAAAGGCTTTTAAATAAAAGATTTAACAGGATTTGAGTACACTAATTGAGCTGTTTTCACATTCAGCTTTAAAAGCCAAATTGTTGCAAGATGCTTTTATTCTAGTTAGACCAAGCAAAGTATCCACATTCCTAGTTCCTTTGTACACAGGGCCAGGGAGAACATCCCTGCTGTTTCAAAGACACGATGTAGCTAAGAACATGGCCCTACCAGTGTTAAAGGGATTTGTGCAGTTGAGAAACCTCAGCACCAACCACTTGCCTCCAGCATGGCTGATGTGGAGAAGCAGGGCATCTTCCTGGTGACAGCCTGGAACTGCTGCCTCTGAGTCTCTTGACAAGTCATGGCCAGGAAAAGTCGGGGAGTGGCACTTTAGTCTTGTAGTTTAGCCTTTTGGGGCTTATTTACTAGATATAACTCCCTCAAAAAAAAAAGGTTTATGAAATGCTGAACCCCAGGTTTCATAGACTGTTTGTACACTAAGAATTCTGCAGCAGAATATTTTTAAACATTGGTTTTTGTAAGCTATATTTTTGTATATTTAATTGCTATTTTAAAACTTTAATGCATTTTTTGCTAATCACTTGTTTAAAAATAAAACATGCATGTAATTGACTCAAACACATGTAAATAAAGGGCAGATTTTGAAATACTTTGTATTATATACCTATCAACTTATGGACATGAAACTGAAATGACCTGACCTGTCGTCCTTTGGCATGGGGTAAGGTGGGGCACACTGATGGGGGAAAACCCATTAGGCCTCAGTGACATCAAGAAGCCAGACCATACTATCCATTCCTTCTGTGACTGCTAACTAGTACTTGGGGTAGTAGCTTCATATATAGTTTTATCCTTTGATAGTCTGCAACATTCCTAGAATTTGCCTCAACCTTAACCCTCAAAGTCCTGTAAATGTGGCTGCTTTCCTCCCCTAATACTCACAAAGCAGTGAGCCGTTCTCTGCTGTTTAGCTTCAGCCCATGGCTTCACCAAGACCACACATAACCCTGGACCTGTCTCTGGGCAACCTTATAGCCCTTCTATCAAGTACCTGTTTAGCACTCTGCTCTCTGACTCCTCTGTCCCTTTACCTCAGGTTGTGTTCCCTGCAGCCTGTTCCTTCACTGCCCATCTCCAAATTTTCTCATACTCTATCTCAAATTCAAATGTCCCGATGCTTTGGGGGGGGGGGGTTCTCAAAACCAAGGACTCTAAAACCAAACCTAGGTGCCCTTAGCACCTCCTGGCTCACACTTCCTATACTATATCTAGCCACTGGAGCCCACAAAACATTTCCTCTTCGCACAGGTCATCCTCCCATCTTACGTCCAGGCTTTCTCTGTGCTTCATGGCCACAATCCTCCTTCATACCTGAGTGGGAGAAGTGAGGCAGAACTTTTGGCCACCAAAGAAACTATCTAGACTGGACAGATGAGAAGGCAAGATGGTTCCAACAGCCACTGGATGCAGCTCACAGGTCAGAGGTGGCCATGAGATGCAATATGTACCTTTCTGCAGATAGTGATGGGACCAACAGGAGGACAGCTTAGAGAACCCACAGTTGAGCTTGAGAGTGGAACTGTCAGTAAGTCAGTTGGTAGACAGCTGCCAGGGATGAGGCCTTAAAACACCCTTTGTATGTACAATGGCCTTGTACTAGTAGTGCACACCTATAATCTCAAATTTTTCAGATGTGGAAGCAACTGCATCAGCCAGCCTCAGCTAAACTGCAATATTCCGAGTTTGAGGTTAGCCTGGACTACAGGAGACACTGTCTCAAAAAATAAAAGAACCCTTCCATGGAATGACACTGGGCTGAACACAACAAGGAAAGAGAAAACAGATAAGAAATGGGAGGTGCAGAACACTACCCATTCATCCCCTTGCTTTGTGCCATTGACCTTGTTTCTTCAACGTAAGAAGATAAAAATAATGAATACAAAACACTGGTCACAGCCATCAAATAGCCAAGGTGTAGACAACACACCTCAAGTGCTTGGTCAGCCAGTCCCAAGGCAGTGTAAGTTCACAGGAGTCACCGAGGGGGTAGTAGGGTGAAGTAGAACCCTGCCACAAATGGAGAAATATCCTGGTACTAGTGGTAGGTGAAGAGTCAGTTTTGAGGAGTCTCAGCCATCCCTGCAACAGCCCCATGTACTGTGCTATGTAAGGCCCCAGCCCAATGGCACCAGAAATCCAGTGGGCCAAAAGTACACATTAAAGTGTAGTTGTCCCTATGGGAATCGGGAACCATCAAGGAGGCTAGCCAGCCAAGTTCATCTCCTGAGTTCCCATGGCCCAAACCAACAAGAGCCTTCTGTTGCCCTAAAGTTGGCATGAGAACCCACAGCTGAATGGCAGAAACACATTTCTAGCCAGAGCTTGAGGTCTCTGTTCCAGATGCAAGGCTACTGTGGACAGGCCCTTCCTTGTCTTCAGCTTGCCAATCACCTACCCAAGAGAATTCTACCAGAAGTCTTGTCTTTGCACACAGTATAGAGGATAGGAAGTATCCTTCCAAAATTCATGTTGAGCCAAGTTTGCAGAACCTTGAAATAAACCATTTTCAGTATGTCAACATAGAGGCTAAACATGAACCAGAATGTACAGAGAAGACTATCTCCAAGGGTATACTGACAAAACTGGTTAGATTCTAACACATATTCAACAGGACAAGCAGTCAGCAGAAGTACAGATAGCTCTCCATTGCATACCAAGTGGGTGATGTTGAGAGTTCAAAGCACCTTGGAGGCAAGATTACTACCCTGAAGAAGAACAGCTTATAAACAGCAAATCTTCATACTGTCTAGACAGGGAAAAAGGAAAATAATCCTTACTGGCTACTAGGTTAGACAGAATTTTAAGAATTTATCTTGATGACTTAGAAAAATACATTTGTTTCTTGCTCTGATTTGGATAGTACACGATCATAAAACTTTAAGTCTCTTTAAAAAACAAAACAAAAAAAGAAAAAAAGAGTCCACAGATGCCCTTGTGGTAGGTTTCAGGAAGTCCTCTGGGTAACAGTCAGGGTATCTTCAACAGCTCAAGGAGTGCACCAACAGCTCCAAAATAACCCTGAAAAAAGAAAAGAAAAAAAAAAAAAAAACAAGATCAATTTTTACAATTCTTTTAAGATATGTATGGGGAGTGTACATGTGAGTACAGGTAGACAGAAACCAGAGCTCAGCTCCCCTGGAGCTACAGTTGCTTAGATAGTTGTGAGCCACCCAACATGGATAGAGAGGCAAATTTAGGTCCTCTGCAAGAGTAGTGTGCGCTGTCAGCCACTGAGCCATCCTTCCAGTCCCAGGAGGTCATTTTTAACTCCCGCCAAGTATAATTACTATATTAAAGTTAGCATGCCCCTTTAACACCTGACCCATTTGTTTCCTGAGCACAGAGAGCTTAGGAGAAGTCCTAAGGAATTCCCTTTAAGTGAGGGACTGGATGCTGGAAATGCTCACAAGAAGAGTGATTAGTGATTGGTGTGGGAGAGCCCAGCCCACTATGGGCAGTGCTATCCCTAGGTAGGTAGTCCTGGGTTCCATAGAAAGCAGGCTAAGCATGCCATGAGAAGCAAGCCAGTAAGCAAGCCTGCCTCAAGTTCCCACCCACTTTGAGTACCTGCCTTGGCTTCCCTCAATGGACTGTTACCGGGGATATGTAAGCCAAATAAATCTTTCCTTCCCAAGCTGCTCTGGTTATGGTGTTTATCATAGCAATAAAACCCTAACAATGACAGATGGTGGCTGTCCCTGCCCTGGGGCAAAGGCCTGGACATTTCCAACAGCCAAAGCTTGCCGGTGTCAGTGAGAAGAGACATGTAAGCTTAGTTACACAGGATGAAAACCTGAACGGTCTGGAAGAAGGGGGAAGTAGGAAGGAGGGTATAACTTGATCTACAGGGTTCTCCACCAGCCAGGCTACATAGTGAGACCCAGTTTAAAAAAGTAAACCTTAAAGACACATGCCCTACAGTCTGCAGCAGTAAGGAGTAGGCTCAAACAGGAACCTGAAACCAAACCAAAAAACAAAGGACAAAAAAAAAAAAAAAAAAAAAAAAAAAGAGGCAAAACCCTCACCAACAGAAGAATGGCAGCAAGAACCATACAAAGGACAGATTGCATCAGTCTCCAAGCAGGAGGTCAGAAATTAAAGCATGTAAGAATAAACAACTGGACAGGGCTGTGGCTCAGTGGCAGACCACTAGGCCAGAAGAGAAAGCCAGGGCGAGATCCCCAGGACTATCCAAAGCAAAAAAAAAAAAAGGAAACATGAAAATCATCACGTCTTAGTGGTGGATTCTAAAGAATACACTAAATATTATACCTAGAAAGGAAACACTGTAGGAGTCACTTAACCAAGTGGGGACAAACTCAGCAATGTTCAGAAATTCATCACACAAACCTAAGGGTACTCTCAGCTCTAAGTGATATAGCTTCAAAGTAAGTAGCTCCCTATGTCTGAGGTTTATTTTATAATGAAAGAACAAAGAAATGAAAGAGAGGAGGGAGGGAGGGAGGGGAGGGAGGGAGGGAGGGAGAGAAAAGAGAAAAAAGCACAACCAAGTTATAATACATAAGTTCCACAGAAAACCCAGGGCCTTCTACTGAGTAAATAAAAAGGTCACGGTAGGCTATTGAGTACTTTGGAAAGTATTAAGAAAGAAAGGGGAGACTTGAAAAGAAAAGTACAGCATTCCTCCACATCTTCTGAACCAACTGCCTTGTCATGAGAGGGCACACAAGTGTCTCAGGACCCAAAGGGACTGAAATAATGAGTGACAGGCATCAACATACAGGTCAGAAACCTGACTATAAGCAAAGATGCCAAGAACAAATGGTCCAAGCTAAGCAGAAGGAAAAAATGAGCAAACAGTGAGAAGAACAAAACAGAATCCCATTAAGGTATGACTACAGGCTAAGTCCCCTTTTCCAAAATGCTTGGGAACAAAAGTGGTTCTGGTTTGGGAATCTTCCAGATTTTAAGGTTATCTGCAAAGATTTACTTCTGTACCACATCTAATCAAAAACACCTCAAAGTTTCAAATTTGCTGCCCAGAGATGTTTAACCTGTATAAATGGGGAAGGAGGAAGGGATATTATACTAAGAAACTAATTTCCATGTTTTACATAGCAAAAGGTGCTTGCTGCCTTTTGGTAGAAATTGTGCAAGAGATAAAATTACACTAAGATAAACAATTTTGTTTGTTTTTTCCTAGAGAGGGTTTCTCTGAGTAACAGCTCTGGTTGTCTTGGAATTTGCTTTGTAGACTATGCTAAACTTGAAATCTGAAATCTTGCCTGCCTCCCAAGTGCTGGAACTAAAGGTGTGAGACACCACTGCTCAGCTAACAATTTTTATTCTAATATAAAACAAAATAAAGTAGGTGAGGTGTCATAGAAATGGGTATATGGAAAAGATTATAAACTGTAAGAAACGTAACAGCAATTGGTACCAATTTACTAATATAATAACCTTACAAAATAAAAATGCCAATCACATGCCTATAATCCCAGCACTTGGGAGAGGAGGCAGGAATCACTACAAGTCCAAGGCCAGCTTAGTCTACTACACTTAGAGACCATGTCTCTAAAAACCAGCAGGTAAGATGGCACAGCAGATAAACGCACTTGCCACCAAGCCTATCCACACAGAGCTCAATACCCAGGACCAATATGGTAGAAAGAGAGAACTCAGTTTTGTTTTGTTTTTTAATCTCAACATAGCAGGTGCCTGGCCATGAACACATATGCATATGCATGGATATACTCATATGTACACACACTAAATGTAAAATACGTATTAAAAAAATAAACTAAGCATTGTCGCATACATCTTTAATCCAAGCACTCTGGAGGTTAGAGGCAGGTGGATCTCTTGAATTTATGGCCAAACAAAGCAAGTTCCAGGACAGCCAGAGCTACAAAGAGAAGCCTTGTCTCAGAAAATAAATAAATAAAAGTTAAAAGATTTAAGCCTTACCCTATCTGATGAAAGGATGTGTACTTTGGATTTTAATCATGACGAAAAATAATTTAAAGAACTTTTATCAAGTCATAAAATACTTAAATATGCACACAATAAATTTCATTATCTAAGCTCCAACAACACATGAACTAAAATAAGTACCCACTCACCAAGGGGAAGGAAGAAAACACACCCATCCACAGCTCCTGTCCAATTGTCCCCAAACAGAGAAGAGGAGGGAGACAGGGCACTTTCCAAGGCAGGACCCAATTCTTTTCACCCTGGCTTCTAGCTGTCAGTATAGTATGGTTCCAGTGTAGAATGTTTTTATTACCACTATTCATTTCTAGAACATATATACATATGTAAACGATACCTGACATTAAAAAACTGTCATGAAAAAGCAGAACACATGCTTGTTTAGAGAATAAAGCATCAGCAATACAGGGCAATGTCCATCAGCATCACCTTCCTTTGGGCCTAAAGGTATAGCTGAGTGATAGAACCCTTACCCACCTAGTACAAAGCCCTGCATTTGAGCCAACACCAAAAATAGACAAACAAAAAAATTTTTTTTCCTTTAAAACCACTCAAACTGTCAGGCATGGTGGCTCATGCCTTTAATCCTAGCACTTAGACAGTAAAAGCTCAAACCAGCCTGATCTATATAGTAAGTTCCAGGACATCCACAGCTACATAGGAATTCCTAATTCAAACAACAACAACAACAAAAAAAAAAAAAGTTTAAAAAGTTAACTAGCTGAACACTTACCTCATTACATTTGTTAAGAAATATTTTCATAAACAACAACAAAAGCCCAAGGCCACTGCACAGTTAGAACAGGACCACTGCAGCCCTGGTCAGTTCTTTAACTGAGCCCTGCAAACAAGTCACTCACCTCATGCTCTGAAAACAGTGCTTTCAGCTGCCCCTTGGACCAGTAATCCAGAGCATATGCCAGAAGCCGCATGGCGATTGTGTTGACTCTCAGGAAATTGCCGACAAATACAACCTGGTTAATGTTCTGAGCACAGAAAAGTGGCAGTGAGTTCACACTCTGATTTGTTTTCTCATAAAGTTCTACCCAACAGCATCATATAGTTTTCAGAGAAACTTGACTGGATCAAATTCTATCCAACTGGTTCACATCTAATGAGATTTGATAGTCAAGACAATTCAGGGGCAAGCCAAAATTGTCCCACAGAAAGATTATGAAACAGACTGTTAAATGTGATAAACAAGAAAAACTTAATAGTAAGCTTAAAACAAAACAAAAACCCCAAAAATAAACAAAACCCCAGCAGAACCCCTCATTATTAATTTTGTCAACCTGATTGGATTAAGACACCCTGGGGTATTAGTGAGGTACAGCTTTAGGTTGTGAAGTCACTTGGAGAGAGGTGTAAGTGGGTGAGGGGCACTGGGGGGGGCGGAGCCACATTCACCTCTCTCCCTCTCGGTCCTGCCCCATCCACTTGTGATCAAGAGCCTCACATTCACACAGAGCAAGTGCAAGCCAATTCTTATGGCCATGCCTTCCCTCCCTGAGTTCAAGTAAAACTTTTGGTCTCTAAATTGCTCTTGCCAGGAATTTGGTTATAGCAACATGAAAAGGAATACAGAGCTTCAGGAAGACAGATAAGGTATTTGTTCTGAAAGCATGAGGGAGGACCTGAGTCAAATCCCATCACCTATTGGCTGCACATGCCGGTAACCACAGCATCAGGGGTCCAAGACAAGTGGATCCTGAGAGCTCATATTCTATTTCAAGGCAGTAAGATGTAGACAAATAAAGGAAGACATGCAGAGTCCTGCTCAGGCCTCCACAAACATAAGCATAGGTATGCACATATGCACAATCACATGTATAAGTAGGAGGGAGATGGGATACATGGACAGGGAGAGAGACACAGAGAGGAGAAAAGAGGGAAAGAGAGAGAAAAGGAGGGGTCTCTTTCTAGAGAAAACAGAAAAGCAACACAAAATTGGTATGGGCCAGTGAAATGGCACATCAGGTAAAAAATGCTTATCTCAAAGCCTATTGGCATGGGTTCAATTCTAAGAATCCACAAAAAGGTAGGCCAGAACCAATTCCAAGCTGCCATCTAATATCCACAAGCATGCCATGACACGTGGGCACCTCAGCCCCACATACATAATAATAATTACATCTTAAAAGAAATTGGTGCCAAGAAATGAGGCCATTATTGTGGTAACACTGACTGTGGTACATAGGCTTTCTAAACCACTGGAGGAGTGGGGAGAGGTCTGGACCCTGAAGCGCCCAAGAGATGGGGAAAATCGGCAATTTGAAAGAAAGGAGAATGAATCCAGATAAAGTTAAAGAGAGTATTGCCATTACAGAGATACACCAAGACAACAGAAAAATACTCTGAGTTTAAGACATCCCCCGCCACACACCTTCAAAAGCTCCAGGGCACAATAATGCTAACTTACTTGAAAAACTTTCATTAAAAGAAGACTGCCTGAACAGGTAATGACATCTTGCTCCAAGATGGCTGCTCAGAACAGTGTTTTCCTAGGTTCAGACACTCAAGACACCCAGAGACCTCTGTCACTATTATAAATGAGGCACAGCTACATCTGGAGAAGGCAGGAGGCAGCAATGAATCCACATGGTACTGTTTTGCAGGCATCACAGTCTCAGAGTTGGGCTGGTACATGGCTCAGTGGTAAGGACACCTGCCTGATAAACTGAGTTGGATTCAACATGCTGGAAGGATAGAATCAATTCCCAAAAGCTATTCTCTGATTTTACACAACTTCTGACATGCAAGCACAAACACGTACCCACTAAATATATAAATAATGTTTTTAAAAGATCCAAGAATTACAGAGTTAGTGAAGTTTGCATCATGGCTTCAGAAAGCTAATGGGGCCAAGCAATGTGGATTGGGTTGAATACCCTACAAGTAGACTCCAAGAGGGCACCGTGTGAAGTATAAGTTGCAACATAGGCTCTATAATACTGGAGATGCCAGAAACATGGGATATTTACCAAGAAAACCTGTAGACTCCATGTGAAGTCATCTCAAGAAAGGAACAACAACTGCCACCAACAATATGAAAGCCCGTTGATGCCTAAATGATGCCATCATGAGCCCTGGGCACGGAGCTGCAAAGGCTGATGTTTATCCTAGTCTGTTACATAGTCTGTTATTTCCTTGCTGTGCTCCTGTTCCTCCCTTACAGAATGGAAATGTTTACTCTGTCTCAGTATACTGGAAGTTGTATTCTACATTTTGATTTTTACAGAAGCTCACCATTATGACATTATGCTAAGACTCAGAACCAACTTTGTTTTGTTTTGTTTCTAAGACAGATTCTCACTATGTAGTCTTGGCTGGCCTGGAAATCACACTGTAGACCAGCCTGGCCTGGGATTCAGAGATCTCTCTACCTCTGCCACCTGAGTGCTGGGATTAAAGGTGTGGCTTTCCATGCCCAGCTTCAGAACCAAGCCGCCTTATTCAAGTAAATAATACCTTACCCAGGCAAGCAACTCAATTAAATGCAATGAGCCACAAACAACAACAAAAAGACATGAGGTAGATGGGAGTTTGGGGGAAAAGAAGGAAGGGGTTCAGGGGAAGACAAAAACAAGTGATAATGAGGAACATGTAATGTGAAAGGAGACTCTGTTGACACTCAGATGAACATGAGGAAAAAAAGAAGACATTAAGGGTAAGGGTGGGATGTTAGATTTAAAGTGAGGTGTTTGGATGACAAGTTGACAAGGGATAAGCTTAAGATGAGCAATCCTTTTTGTCAGTGTCTGAGGCATTTCCAGAGGGTAATTAAGAAAAAACTTGCCTTGAATGTGGGCAATACCACCCCACAGACTGAAGCATCAGCTGAACCAGCCTTCATCTGTTTCCTGGCATATCAAGATGTGAATAAGCATCCTTGACAGACTATACCCTCAGTCTGTGAGCCAACATAAATCCTGAAGTCACTCTTGTCAGATATTTTGGTCAAGGTGAAGAAAAAGTAACTAACCCAAAAGAGGACTTGACACTAAGAAGCAAATTGTGCCAGCTAAAAACAATTTAGCTTCAGCTACGAACCAAGGAAGCAAAATCTAGTCTACCTGAAACTCCAACCGCAAATTCATAAAGCTGTCCAGCCATCAATGCTAAAGATGCTCAAAATGGGTACACCCCTGTGTAAAACTCCTCAGCAATTTCTACCAGGATCCATAAGCACAATCATAACGTAGGATGATCACAATGGCCACACCCAACTCAGCCCTGGATCAAGAATAAAACAGCCAAAGAACAGTTCATACTTCAAAATACTTACCAGTCACCACTTCCAAGAAAACCAAATGCCCAGCTCTATTTGAATAGTTAATGCAAAATAAGAATCTGATCAAATATACAGCCATGACAAAGGGAGGAAGCTTAGTCAGTAGAGTGCTTGCCATGCAAGTGTGAGGTGCTGAGTTGAATTCCCCAGAATCCACCTAAGAAAACAGGGGCAGGAGCAAGTTTAAAATCCCAGCACTTCAGAGGCAAAAACAGATCCTAGGGACTCACTGTCCAGTCATGCTGGCTAATGAACAAGTTGCAACCAGTGAGAGACCATGCCTCAAAAACTAAGGTGAGCCAGGCATGGTGGCACACATCTTTAATCCCAGCACTAGAGAGGATGAGATATCTAGCAGTTTGAAGCCAGCCTGATCTTGATAGCTAGTTTTAACCAGCCTGGTCTTGATAGCTAGTTTTAAAAAACAAAACAAAAAACAAGGTGGACAGAACCCTAGATTATCCTCTGACCTTCACACTCACAAGCACACACATGCACTCGCACACACAAAATTCACTCACAAACCATATATTTCAGGTTAAAAATACAATGTATGCACATTAACTAAAAAATTTAAAATACATACGCACAGAAAAGATAACATTCAATAAAGGAAAAAAATGTTATTTTTAAAAATGAAGTACTTTTTTAAAAACCTGGTATATAGTATCTTCTAAATTAAAATTTAGGCAAATCCTTTTGGGCCTAGAAGTCTCCTTTTAAGGGACATGTCTATATTAAAGAATAATTTTAAACCAAAGTGTGTAAATAGGGACAAGCCATAAAGCTGCACAGACTGGATCCTAGATACTCTTTCCCTAAGGCAGCCCATTCTTGGTTCTTTCATAGCCCTGTACAATGCTGCTTGACCTGAATGCTACAAGGCAGCACTGTAAAGAAGCTGAAAGCACGAAGACAGCTCTGCTGAAGTGGAGGGGAACCAAGGTGGGCTTCCTCTGACCGCTCAGTCTTCTCTCCCAGCTTCAGTGGCTTCTTGAGAATTCCTTTCCATACCTCAACAGCACCCAATAAACAGCATCTAGATTCAGCGTTGTTACCCATCATTCATCCCACCCCCAGCTCAACTCTAGCCTCCTTCCTGACCCCCTCCACTTTCTCCTCAAAAGCAGCCACTCACCTCTAGGAAGAGAAAAGATGTGTGAGGAGGGTGGGGAGGGGGAAATCAGTGAAGATAAATCTGATCCTCAAGCATATAAAGTTTGTATTTAAAGTCTACCCCACGTAAATACATTTGGACACTACTGTAAGAAGACAGACACTTTGTAAGGCTGAGGTAGGACCAATTTTAAAAAAGTCAACATTTCCCCTTAGAATAACAGAACAATCTCATGTCCCCTTACTTCATTAAGGGCGCACATTCTTGCTATGGAGCCAATGTTGTTGGTGATGGTGATCAAAGTTGCTCTGGCAAGGTCCTCCTTACTGGCAGCCTCTCTCTTCTCCTTGCTCATCATGTTTCCAAAACTGTAACGGAGGAAAAAAATTTCATTGCTGAAACAAAGGCAACACAGTCCTTTTTTACTATGATAAAATGACTTTACAATAAGCCTTTCCATTTTTTATTACAGAGTGATGGAAGCATCCACTGGAGATCTCAGCTTCAAACAAAAGCCCACAAAGCACTCTAAATGAGCAGGTAACCTGCCCAGTCTTCTACTGAAATTCAACTCTGGTACTAGATAGTTCCCTACCCAAGCAGCATCCTACAGATCCACTGAGAGGCAACACTGCCTGATTTGCCACCAGAGTTCCAGGAAGATATCTCTTATCAGCAGGCCATCCCTATTGTGCAACTGTTCCGCTCAGATGGTCACAGTCACATCTATTATAAAGAACTCATCAGCACAAAGTACAAAACGACTGAGTCCCACAGTGAGCTACTAAAGATCCAGGCTGTCCTAGAAGGTAAATAAAAGACTTCAAATTTACTGACCAGAAAAAGTGCTACATTAGTAACTGTGACCCAAACCCAAGAATAAGAATAAGGAAGTGATCAAATGTTGCAAACAAAACAGAATCTACAGCACTGACTCAGTTCCTATTACTCAGCACATACTTGCACATGAATGCCTTTCCTATTATTAAAAACCAAGTCCTCTGTTGTGCATGGCATCTCAATACCAGCACTTAGGAGAGGCAGAGGCAAGTAGATCTCTAAGAGTCCAAGGCCAGTCAGAGCTACATAGTGAGACTTTATCTCAAAAACAAAGCAAAATAATACACATGCTCTAACACAAAACACAAAAATTACATCCCCAGGGGGGCTAGAAAACTGGCTTACTGGCTGCCCTTCCAGAAGACCCCTTCAATTGCTAGAACCCAACATGTCAGCTCATAACCATCTATAAGTTTCTACCTTCACTCTCAAGGAATCTGATGCCCTCTTCTGGTCTCTATGGGCACCTGGCATGGCCATGGTATACAGATATATATTCAAACAAAATATTCATACACATAAAAGTAGTTACTTTAAAAAAAATTACAACCAACAAAATAAAATTAAGTAAGTCCCCAGCATCTCACAGCACCTGAGAGATCAAGGTAGACCTGGGCTTCACAGTGAAATACAGTCTCAAAAACATCAAAAGGGAGAAAAAAACTTCCATTTTTGACAGAACTGCAGAGAATTAAACAGGAATATACTTAACAAAAGAAATATAATGCAGTTGAAAGACAATAACCACCTAAATAAATGGAAAGAAGCCCATCTTCCCGAACCAAAGACTTGACTGTGTTAAGTTAAATATTCAGGTCTACAGAAATAGCTCAGTGGTTAAGAGTACTTGCTCTTGCAAAAATCCAGGTTCAATTCTAAGAACCTATATAGAGGTTCACAATGGTCTTTATTTACAGACTGATAACCTCTTCTGACCTTCATGGCCACCAGACACACACTGGGTACACATGCATACATCCAAGGGAAACACAATATAAAATTTAAAATTAATAATAAAAAAATAAAAGCTGGCAATACTCCTCAAACTGGTCAATAGGTTCAACACAGTCCCTATCAAAATCCGAGGTGTCTTCTTTAGACATTGCCAAGTTAATCCTAAAATTCATACAGAAAGTCAAAGAATTCAAAGTAATCTTGGAAAGGAAGAACAAGTTAAAGGGCTATGCCCTGTATGTTTACCACTTCCCCCTTAAAAACTTAGTACAAAGCTGTTGTAAACAAGGGAATGTAGTACTGTTCTAAAGACAAATATATAGAACAAAAGGAAATTAAGAATCCAGAAATAAACTGAAACATCTAGAGTCAACTGACTGTGACAAAGGTCTCCAAAGAATAGGGAAAGAGCAGTCTTCAGTAGATGGGTCAGCTAGAACAAGTAAAAACACCATGCAAAAGAGACTATGGAGCTCTATCGTGCACCACACAGAAAAGCTAACATAGAATGGTCATAAGCATAAATGTCAAAGCCCAAAGTATAAAACTCTTAGAAGTTAATCTTCACAATCTAAGATGGGACAAATGGCACTAAAAGCACAAGAAATAAACACATAAATAAGAGGTTTCACCAAAATTACAAACTTCTGGCTAAGTTTGATAGCACTTACCTATAATCCTAGCACTCAGAGGGCAAAGGCAGAAAGAGAAGCAAAAATCTGAGGCCAGCCAGGACCACACACTGAAACCCTAACATATATACATATATACATATACATATATATATACACACACATACATTAGATACACACACATACACACACACACACATATATATATAAAATAAAGAACTTTTATCTACAAGAATATAAAGAATTCTTGAAGCTCAACAAGGTGGTAGTGGTGAGGTAGAAACAGCCAGATCTCTGAGTTCAAGGCTAACCTGGTCTACAATACAAAGTGAGTTCTAGGACAGCCAGGACTCATAAACAAAAACAATTCTTGAAGCTTAATAAATAGAAAAATTAATTTTAATTAGCAAAAGGCTTCAACAGACATATTCCTTAAACGATGAACAGAAAAACAAAAGTCAAGATTACAATGAGCTGTGGCCTGGTAGCACATCCCTGTTATTTTCAAGTCAGGAAGCTGATACGTGAGGATTACAAATTCAAGTCACTCTGGACTCTGTAGAGGGAAGACATGGCTCCATCAAAGGAAAGAAAAGCAAAGACCCAGATTTAGAGATAAATGGAAAATTCAGGAAGAGATGAGAGAAATTAGGAGAAAATTTATGGAGGTATCCTTATGTGGGAGCCCTCTAATCTCAATGACATCAGGATGAATTCTGCTATGTATGACTTCTACTGTTTTCCATGCAACTGACACTGGGATTCCCATGGGTCTCTTTTTCCTTACACTGCAGCTATGCCGGCTTCTAACTGCAGGCTGCCTTTGTGCCCAGTGTAATAATACAATTTCAACCATTTGCATGGGGAAACTGAAGTTACTAAAGCAGCTCATAAAAAGGGGCTGGGGGTGAGGAGGAGAAACGACTCCTAAACAAAAAGACAATGATATAGAATAAGTTAAGATCCTGAGGCTGTAAAATGGTATGGTCATACCAATTTCATTCCTAGCTAGAGATCAACAGAATTAAAACAGGTTATAGTAGCACATGCTTTTAGCTTGGGAAGCAGAGGCAGACAGTTCTCAAGTTCCAGGCCTGCCTAGCCTACAGAATAAGTCAATCCCAGGGGAGCTAGGGCTACATAGAGAATCTCTGAATCCAACAACCAACAAGCAAGCACACAAAAAGGAGAAAGAAAATTAAATGTCCATACAAAGACAAGTACACAGGTCTTCAGCACTATTCATGATAGCCAGAACCCAATGTTTATTAATAAATACATAAAATATGGTATAGTCACATAATACAACAATAAAGAGAAATAATTCCATAAACATTGCAGTAAGTGACATGAAGCTGGTTATGACATTTCATACTATATAATTCCATATATATGAAATGTTCAGAATAACCAAATCCAGAGACAGGGGGAAAAAAAAGGTATTGGAAAAAAAAGAAAAAAAAAACAAGTACTTGTGTATACCAGACTAGCCACCCGGGGCTGAGATTATAGGTGTGTACCATCCCAGTTTATACAGTGCTGGAGAATCATATACACTAGTACAGGGCTCCATAAACACTAGTACATACTCTAACAGAACTACATCTTTAGCCCCAAATTAAATATTCTCAACAGATTAACTTTACAAATTACATTTCAATGAAACTGTTTAAAACAAAACATGTACCTAATAGAATTTTAGTCCTATATTTCTTACTACATACATACACCCTTACCTTGAAGCCACAGCCCAGCCTGGCAATCCAAACCTTTCATAGTCTCCTCCATAAATGTCTCGAACTAATTTGTCCACTTTGGTGCTATCCCCACGAGATGCCATTTCAAGAGCTTCTTCAAAAGTGCTACAGCCAGTAAGAAGACAGCAGAGACCAAAGAAAGTTCCTCCTCCAAGACTATGATTAAAAGCAAACAATGCAGTATTTTTAAAACACAGAAAAGGGATGTTAAGACTTATGAACTCCAAACAATACTCATGTAGCAGTCTACTCTTGCCCCGATTAAATCATGCACAATACCAATAAGTTTGCAAGACGATAAATACAAGTGCTTCATAAATACAAAATGTATATGTCCATGTGAGCCAAAAAAGTAGAAAAATATATACAGCCCATTTCCCTGTATGTGTCCCCAGTGCTGTCTACTCTTGCTGAGTATAAAAGCCTCAGGTACACATAAACAAGGCCAACATACCCAGAGTCATGTTAGCACCTACTTTCTGTCTTCAAGTGCGAATGACCTCTGAAGTCATTCAAGTACCTGTCACTCTAACCCACCAGACTCCTCTATTGAAACCTCTTTCTCCAATACTCTCACTTGTTGGCTAATGAGTGTTATTATACTCATTAGGTAAAGAGTTATTCAAACCCTCAGGTTTTTTTTTTTTTTTTTTTTTTTTTGCTCAAATAACCCTTGAATCTTAACCAAAACATTTTCTTTCATCTAATCCCCCCTTTTCAAATCATTTTTCTAGTTATCAGTATCTCAACTTCTAGATCCATTGTCTTAGTTACTTTTCTCTTCCTGTAATGAGACATCATGACCAAGATAACCTACATAAAGGAAAGCATTTATTTGGGGTATACAGTATCAGTCCATGACAGTAATGACAGACAGCATGGCAGCAGGCAGGCATGGCACTGAAGCAGTAACTGAGATCTCACATCTTGAGACATAACCACGAGGTAGAGAGAGCTAACTGGGAATGAATGACCTACCCCCAGTGACAAATTTCCTCCAATGAGGCCAGCCCTCCTAATCCTCCCCAAACAATTCCATTAACTGAGGACCAAGCATTTAAATATATGACCCTATGGGACGGCATCTCATTCAAACCACCACATTCCACCCTGGCACCATAGGCTTGTAGCCCTATCATAATGCAAAATGCATTCAGTCTACCTCCAAAAGTTCCCATTGTATTTCAGTCTCAATACTATTTCAAAGCCCATCCACATCTCTTCCAAGACTCAAGGCAATCAGTAATAGTAACCCCATGTAAAAGCAAAAGCAAAAAGCAGATCACATACTCCCAAAACATACAATGCACAGAATATACATTACCATCCCAGATGGAGGAAAGGGGACACAGTGAGGAAATATTGAACCAAACCAAAACTGAAAAACAGCAGGGCAAACTCCAAATCCACTATTTCTGTCTGATGGCAAAGGATTTAAAATAGCTTTCCCCTTCCAGCTTTGCCAACTATTATACACTTCTCTCTTTTGGGCTGGTTCCACAGCCTGTCTGTGACTCTCCTTAGCAGGTATCCCAAGGATCTGGCATCTCCAATATCTTGGGATCTCTAAAGCAATCCAGGTTTCACTTTCACTGCCTCACACATGGCCTCTCAGAGCCTCCATGCAGGGACTCCCCTGCCATATGCCTGGCCTCAAGTGACTTTCCTTAATCATGAAGATTCCACAACCCCTTTAACTCATGTATCCTTCTTGACACTAAAGCCAGAACCATGTAGATAGCTGCCAACTTGAGCTGCCTGCTTGGGAAGAGACCTGGCCCCTTCTTGAATTACATTTGCAGTTTTCCTTTGTTATTGGTTTTTGTTTGTTTTGAGCAGAAAATTTCTCAAGCATTTCTTTTACAAGCTGAAAGCTTAGCTGGGTAGTTTCTTGCCCTGAGGACACCCATCCCTTTTATTTTATTTACCATTAGGTTTTACCTTGTCTTTCAGCATAGGCCTTGGTTCTGACATTAAATCTCCTAATGCTATTATTCCACTTTAAATACAGTTTGTATTTCTTTTTGTTTCACTTATTGTTTTGCACTGCAGATCTAACAGTTATTGCTAATAATCACATGACATAGTATTAGGCTATCTTGAAATCTTCTCAGCCAAGAAAATTAATCCATCATTATTCAATTTTGCCTCAGGCAATTTTTTTTAAAGGACAAGAGCAGAAAGTAACCAATATCACAAAAATGATCTCTAACCCAGTTGCTAATATTGTTCCCCTCTGAAACACTTTTTGTTTGGTTGGTTGGTTTGTTAGTCTGTTTGTTTGAAAAAGTCTCTCTCTATATTAGCATTTTTCAACCTGTGGGTTACAACTCCTTTAAGGGTCAAATGAATCTTTCACAAGGGTCATCTGAGACCACTGGAAAACAGGTATAACATTACAATTCCTAACAGTAGCAAAATTAGCACAGAAAATAATTTTATGTTTGGGGGTCACTACAACATGAGGAACTGTACTAAAAGGTTACATAGCATTAGGAAGATTGAGAACCAGTTATATAGTCCTGAGTGCCTAGAATTCTGTAAGACCAGTCTGGTCTTGAACTCAGAGATCCTCCTGCCTCTGCCTCCTGAGTGCTGGGATTAATGGCATGTACCACATCATACCTGACCCTATCTGAAACCTCTTGGCCTGGGCACCTATAATCAACATTGCTCTTAGTACTGCTATCTTGCAAGTTCCTACTAAAATGACCCTATTCAACCCTGCTTACAGTATTTTTCTAATCCAAAGCTCCAAAGTTCACATACCACAAGCCTGTCACACCAATAGCCCATTCCCTGGTACCAACTTCTGTCTTAGTTACTGTTTTATTGTTGTGGTAAGACACCATGACCAAGGCAACTTTTGGAATGTTTACTTACTGGGGGCTGATAATTAAGAGTCTATGACCATCATGGTGTGGAACATGACAACAGGTAGCTAAAAGCTCACATTTTGAGACAGAGAAAGCTAGGAATGTCTGGGGCTTTTGAAATCTCAAAGCCCACCCCCAGTAACACATCTCCAACAAGGCCACACTCCCTAATCCTTCCCAAACATTTCCATCAGCTGGGAACCCAGCATTAAAACATGAGACTAGGAGGGACTTTTTCATTCAAACTATCACACACAATACCACAGAATACCCATTACCCTAGGGCCACATCCCCTGGTCACCTTATACCATCCTCTGATATAAATGCATGCATGCATATGCTGAAGTATGTATGGATATATATGTACAAAGTCTATAGGTTTCAAAGGAAGAACTGTTTGCCTTCTCTTTCAGAGGTTTACCTGGTTAACTGCAACTATCTTAGATATGCACACCAAATCTATAGATGCAATGAGTCTGTTGAGGTAAAGCTTAATGAAACAATGATAATAAAAATCCTAAGCAAAAGCAGGGTGGCAGTGGCACAAGCCTTTAATCCCAGCACTCGGGCAGCAGAGGCAGGCAGATCTCTGTGAGTTTGAGACCAGCCTGGTCTACAAGAGCTAGTTCTAAGACTCCAAAGCTACACAGGGAAACCTTGTCTTGAAAAACAAACAACAACAACAAAAAAAAAAAAAAAACAAAACCCTAAGCAAAAGAGCTCATGATATCAGAATGTTGGAAGAGAAGCAACATGTGCATGCATAGTTTCAAAAAATTTAAATCTTTCACAAAATTTTAATGGGTGCTATAGATATATATGGTGATATATTATTTATGATTTAATATAGCTTGCCTGAGGGTTCAGAATGCAAAGCTAACCACAAACCATAGAGGCCAGGTAGTGGTGGCACACACCTTTACTCCCAAGACTCAGGAAACAGGCTGTGAGTTCAAGGCCACCCAGGGTTACATTAGAGTGAACCAGTCTGAAAGAAAAACAGCTCACACAAAGGAGATCTCAGCACTTGGGACCCCACAACTTTAATCCCAGCTCTAGAGGTATAGGAACAGGGCATTCAGTATTCAGTCTCAGAGATTTATTCTCCAGCCACGCTGAGCACAGAACAGCCCTTTCAGCTTGAGGCAGAGGTAAGAACTAGTGGCCAACTGCTTTGCTTCTCTGATTCCAATAACTGTCTCTGGGCTTTTATTATTCATGCTACACATGTGATTCGGTGTAGCTCTGGGGCTCTCTGGCCAAATGGTCTAGTCTAATCAAGTAGACCATGTGGACAGCTCCTTAAGATCAACACCTGGAGGTCAACATCAAATCTTTCTCATCTTCTAAGTCAAGGTCTTTTACTGCAGCTAGCTAGCACTTACTGACGACCTAGACCAGCTGGCTCAGTAAACCTATATCAAAGTATAAACAATGACTTATATGAAGGATTTACCTGGTGCCTGTGACCCTCTTGTAATTATCTTTGGAATACACTGCTAAAATGCTAACCCCTGAGCCGATGTTCACCAGAAGCAGAGGGTATGGATTTTTCAAATCAAATGGTAACTTCTGACATTTTTCAGAATCAGCAGGATTTTCAAAATAATAGCACTGTGACCGTCCATTGAATCCAACTGAGTCAATGTATAAAATTCCTTTTATCAAGCAATCCAGTTCATCCAGTTTGTGAAGTTGAAGGTCTCCTATCTGTAATAAAATTAGAATGTAATCAGATTTTCTAATAAGCCAACAATTTTTTTTAATATGATTTTCTGAAACAAAGTCTCACTGTAACCTAAACTGGCCTTAAATCCTCTTGCACCCAATTGCTAAGTGCTAGGACTATGGGTATGAGTCCCTACATCAGGCAACCAACAGAAAAATTTTAAATTCCATTTAAAAGGACATCCCTACACTGAAGGAACTATAAAAGCATACCCATTTATATGTGCTTTGAAGAGCAGATCTAAGCAGATCTTTGGTTCCCAAAGAGTCTCCATCCAAACCAATGCAACTGTGGGGCTATGTGCCAAGTCCCAAGTGAGCAGCAGAAAATGGGACCTCTGATGACAGGGACAGTGAAGCAGAGATGTAACTGAGGCCATGGCTTATCAGAGTACCTAGTAACAATGGCAGAATCCATAAAGACTGGCATGTTGAGATGGAAAGATAGCTTAGTTGGTAAAGTTTGGCACCCAAGCATGAGGACCATTTCCATTTCTACACACTCAGAAAAGGCTGGGTGCAGGAATCCCTGGGGCTCTCTGGCCAGATGGTCTAGTCTAATCAAGTAGACCATGTGGACAGCTCCTTAAGAACAACACCTGGAGGTCAACATCAAATCTTTCTCATCTTTTAAGTCAAGGTCTCTTACTGCAGTTAGCTAGCACTTGCTGACGACCTAGACTGGCTGGCTAGCCATCTCTACTCCCAGGCCACAGGCACACACTCAGCTTTCTAATATGGGTGCTAAGGATTCAGACTCAGGTCCTCATCCTTGAGCAGTAGGCACTTTACCCACAGGGCCACTTTCCCAAAACCCTTCATTCCATGTAGTTTTCATCATAACATGAGAACATGAAAAGGAGAAACCCTAATAGACTAAGAACCTGCTTTTAAAATACAAAGTCTAATTTGCACTCTGGATTCTCACATAACTGAGGCTCTGTAAATGGTCTGAATGGTTTTCAAATATTTATTGCAATGGGGCCTCTACAGCACCTTGGAAAGAGAAGTTTTTGCCACCTACTTATCTATCTATCTGGCCCACTGGGAGACTTTCTTTACCTGAATTCATAGATTGGGGGAAAGGGGGGAGCACTGAAAACCCAACAAGCCAGGTACATGTTAGAGATTCTGCATACTGACTTAAGGTTAGTTCTTAATTATTCTCAATAGCCATGGCCAACTTTTATACTTAACATCCTTTTAGAGTATCAGCTAAAATTTTTGGAATGTATTAACAGACCACTAGCTTAAACTTAAGAAAGTCATTAGACAACATCTAAAACCTACAGCACCTGCCTACCTGATGTTTCCACCAATGCATTTGGAAAAGCACTGACTTATGGCTTCCTTTTGTTCTGTAATCTCTTCCACAAAAGGATGTCATTCATGTTGTTCAGGGCAGCCCAAATTTGTGTTGCCAGGCCTGGCTGCTTGTATTTGGTTCAGAATAAACTCAATTCCTGTGAAGCAAGAGCTATACTTTGTCAAAGAAGGGAAAACCTCCCTCAAGTCAAATACTCTCATTTGGTAGCATGAAAAGGGGTTACTGAAGCCAGGCAGTGGTGGCGCACGCCTTTAATCCCAGCACTCGGGCGGCAGAAGAAAGGCAGATCTCTTTGAGGCAAGCCTGGTCTACAGAGCAAGTTCCAGGACAGGCTCTAAAACTGCGTAGAAACCCTGTCTCAAAGAAAGGTGGGAGGGAGGGAGGAGGAAGGGAGGGGGGAGGGAGGGAGGGAGATTGGTCACTGAAGACATTTTAAGTCTATATACATTGCACTCTGAAGGCTAGGGCCTTGAGAAATCCACTTGTTAGTTCTCATACCTTCGTTACATCAACCCTCAAAAGACCTAGCCTTAATACCTTGCAATCACAAAAGGAAAGCAAAAACTAATGCCCAGTGGTATACAGTAGTTTAGATATGGTTGAGAAACTTGGTTTTCAAGTATAGCACAGGCTGGGATTGTATTTGCCTAGTTTGTGCACGACAGCTCTGCTGTCAGCTCTAATGCCTGAAAAGAACCACTTTTAAAAAATGTCTTTTGCTCTTGTTTTTCCAGACAGGGTTTCTCTGTTTAACAGCTCTGGCTGTCTTAGAATTCACTCTGTAGACCAGGGTGGCCTTGAACTCAGAGATTCCCCCTGCCCCTGCCTCCCCAAGTGCTGAGATTAAAAGTGTGTGCTAACACTGCCCAGTCACTTTAAAGTTTTTATTTAAAATTTCATGTATATCAAGTTTTTGCCTGCATGTATGTATACCACATGTATATATCAGGATCCCCTGGAACTGGAGTTACACATGGTTGTAAACCACTATGTGGGTACTAGGAATCAAACCTAGGTACTCTAGAGGAGCAACCAGTGCTCTTAACTACTAAGCAATCTCTCCAGCTCCCCACATACACACACCCCACTCCCAAACCACTTTTAAGCAGGCATGCTGGAAAACAACCGAGGTGGCAGAAGAGAAACTATATGGTATACAAGATAGGAAGCAATTTTGTGGCAGATGTGGCACATGTGGAGATCAGAGGACAACCTGAGATGTTATTTCTCAGGTGACATCTACTTTTTTCCTGATTCTTCACTGACCTGGAATTTTCCATGAAAGCTGCCCATTTAGCCCCAGGGATCCACTTGTCTGTCTCCCAAGTTCTGGGCCAATACCCAGTTTTCGGTTTTTTTTTTTTTGTTGTTGTTGTTGTTATGTTACTTCTGAGATGGGGCCTATGTGTCCCTGATTGATCTGGATGGAATTTGTCATTGTAGACCAAGCTAACCCCAAACTCCTAAGAGATCCACCTGCCTGACTCCTGAGTACTGCTGAGATAAAAAGGCATGGACCAACACAGCCAACTTAATTTTTATTTATGTCTCTGTACACCCTGGTGCTGGAAGTGCAGGCAGTTATGGGCTGTTTTGACATGGTCCTTGCTGAGCTACCGCTCCAGCCCACACACAGCCTTTTTATGTGGGTTCTAAAGAATGAACTCAGGTCCTCCAAACACTTTACTAACTGAGCCATCTCCCTAGCCCAGGGCTAAATTTTTAATTTTTGTTTTTAACTCCTTAATGAAATATAATGACGGTACTTCTTATAAGCTCTTAACATGCTTATCCCATATTCAAAGCTTTCATACTAAAAAAATGGTAAAGTGCTATGCTCATGCACATTAGCATACTTCAACCAGGTAAGAAGCACACTACCCAACAATCTCCAGATGATCAACTCCTGACTGCCACTAGTTTATATATAATGTTCACTTCCCTCAAGAATATTCAAGCTCCATTAGAAATGGAAATGATTCTACCACTTGTAATTGACATCATTTTAAACAATCAAATTACCATAAATTGTATATAAGCTAAAAAATGCATACTGTGAGAAAATCCTGCTCAAATTTGTATGATCCGCCTCCAGTGGCACAAAAGACAGTGTGGAGACTCGAGAAGTTTTTATCTTTGCCCATTTGAATAAAAGCAGGCATGTCATGAGTGGGAAAGCGTATAAAGTGCAGATTGCCTTTGCGTCCACACAGAGTCAGGTCCTTCAGCTCAAGGTGCACGTCCCGGATTCCTGTGGATCCATAAGCCACATTGGAGGTCAGGTACTTTCGAATGCTTTTCAGACTCTCCACCTCCTCCTTTTCTTCTTCAGCAGTGATGTCTTTAGGTTCAAAATAAACCAGCTTGACTAGGGTTCCACCAATATCCAAGCCAAACCATGGAAAAACTAAATGGAAAAGAAAAAAATGTCAAAATACCTTTTTCTAAAAATAAAGGTTTCTACTTGCTTGACTAGCAACTTATTCTATAGGCTATGGTTTCTAAGGAACAAAATTCTAAACAAAGATTTGGGGAAGAACTATGAATCAAAAATATCAAAGTTTTAGAACAAACTAACTTTCCTGTATACTCAAAGTATACTATGAAATACTTAAAAGCTAACAAATTAAGCTTCAACTCTGAAAAACAAAGACCGTGAATGAAAATCTTCAGCCTTCCTCCTGCTCGAAGGAAGGAGTGTTGAGACTTTGCAGAGCTCTAGTACTCACACTAAAGAGCAAGGAAAGTCCCAGCCCTACCTAAGACTCTCCAGGGTCAACTCAGCACTGCTCTGGGCTGGTTGTACAGCTTAGTGACAAAGTACTTATCCACTACATGTCAGGCCCTAGGTTCATTCTCTGGAAAGACAAAAAAGAAAACACAGGCACCTTAAAAATAAAAGGTTTCGATGGACTTTAAGTCCAAGTCATCTGCTGTCCATAAAACACTTTAAAGTTAAATAAATAGGGGGCAGACAGAATACCCACTTGGTAGCTCACAACTGTATTTAACTACAGTTCCAGGGGATCAGATATCCTCTTTTGGCCTCCATAGGCTCTACACATGCATAGTATACAGACATACACATAAGCAAAGCAACCATACATATAGTAATTTTTAATTAAAAAATAAGAGCTTTAGGAACAGAGATAAAGATGGACATGTATGTGCCTTCCTAACCCTAAATCTAGAAATGACTAATAAAAGCTTAAGTTTTTTTATTAACATTTTTCTCTAAAATAATTCTGAAATTCTCTCTCTCTCTCTCTCTCATCTGTTCTGAACCCTCCAAAGCAATGTTAATAAAGCTGGAGGCATCTGTGAGGGTGGAAAAGCACACAGGGGTGCTCTACCCAGAATCAGATGGAGTATCTGCCAGGATGACACAGGGCCATATTTCAGCAGCCATGTTGATATGGTCAGGAAATAGATTTAGAGAGACTTGACAGGCTATCACCAAGTTCCCTCTGCCAAGAGTACTTCTCACCATCACAAAGGCAAACAATTTCTTCTCTGAGTAAATGGACCAGAGACACAAAGTCAGGAAAGTCACAATAGTATCTACTTGGCTGCTGTCACCCACAGCAAGGACAGCCTCCACACCTGGTCATACATACAACCTGTCTCTCAACTACAGACTCCATCCCAGGAGACAATAAATAGAATCTACACCTACTGACAGGTCAACAGGAACTTTTGTTCAAGAATGAAATCACTAAAAGGAAGCAAATACCACCAAAATGATAAAGTATCTGAAGAAAGAGTTACAAGAATAATGAATAGTAAATGTCATCAGTCACATGTGATCCCATCTATGAAAACTTAGAAACTAAAAGCTACCAAAACTACAAAAATGAATGCATGATTTAAAAAAGTAAACAAAACCAGATACTTACAAACTTATATAAAACTAATAAGTAGGAGCTGGAGATAGCTCAGTGGAAAAGAATACACAATGCTCTTACAAAGGACCAGAGTTCAGTTCCACCACTCACATCAGGTGGCTCACAACTACATGTAACTACAGCTCCAGGAGATCCAACATTCATTCTTCTGGCCTCCTCTGGCATCTACACTCACATGCACATATTGACACACAAACACAAATACACAAAATTTTAAAGGAAAATAAATCTTAAAAAAAAAAAAACATGAATAAAGTTTGTTCCTAATAATGGGGAGGGGGGGTGCTTTCAACACTCCCCCAAACATAAACTTATCTATGAAATTCAAAAGCAAGCTGAGTGAAAGAAGGCTTACAGAAAAGGCTACACACTCTAGGAAATAATCACTTCTGCAACTAGGAAAGAAGGCCAATGTATGATCATACTGGTAAAAGAGAGGAAAGGCTTCAGAGGTACAGGTCAGCAGTGACCCAAATCTTAAACTGTACAGGGGGGGGGGGGGAGAAGGGTGAGAGTCACAGGCTTTATACTCTAGCCAAACAAATACACTTAAGAGTAAAATGGGAATGCAGACACACAAAATAGAAAACAAAACTAAGAAAGCCTCCCAAAATGCCTCTCAAGAACAACAAAAATCTGAAATAGTGGTAGAACCAAAACCAAAAGCCTTCTCTCACAAGCTCTAGAAATTTCTTGAGACAGAGTGGAAGTCTTCCTGACTTTTTTAAAATCCTACTAAAGCCAAGTATGATGTGATACATATTTAGTCCTAGCACAGGCCAGTCTTTGAGTTCTAAGCCACTTAGTGATCCATAGTGAGACCTTGTCCCAAAAAAACAAAGAAAAGAAGCCAGGAGGTAGTAGTGCACACCTTTTAGTCCCAGCACTTGGGAGGCAGAGGATTTCTCTGTGAGTTTTAGGCCAGCCTGATCTACAGAGTAAGTTCAGAACATCAGAACAGCGAAGGCTACACAGAGAAATTCTGTCTGGGGGAAAAAAAAAAAAAAATATATCAAAAGTAAAATAAGTGAAGAAATCTTACTAAAATTTCAGAAAACCCTAAGAAGAACCAAAGTTCCTAGGAAGAGACATAAATTACACAAGGGTAAACAGTGTTCTTCATCAGTAACATGAGTGTTAGAAGAAAAAGGTACACAGGCTTCAAATAAAGGAGAAAGGTTTAGAAGTGTTATCTTGTCAAACAGCTTTCAAGCAGGAATCCAAAAGAAACTTTACACACAAGGACTGCCACTCGAAGAGTCTGAATTGTGCAGATGAACAGCAGCATAATTTTACATTTCCAAGAGCTGTAAGAAAGATTTTTATCCACAAGCTATAAACAGAGGAATAAGTGCATGCTGACTTTAAGATCTAAAATACTTACACAATTTCAACAAAGGACATCAAGGAGGAAAGGAGTAGGAAGTGAACGCAGCACATCTGTCTCGCAGGGAAAAGAAAGAGGACAAGACTGGGCAGCTGGAGACTAGAACAGAAAAGGGACGCTTTAAAACAAAACAAAATTATGCAGTGGTAGTGCACAGCTATAATCCTAGTACTCAAGAGGCAAAGGCAGGGGATCATTGCAAGCTGAAGACCAGCATGGTTATATGTAGTTTCAGGCTAGCTAGTACTTCATGACACCCCATGTCAGAAAATAAATAAAAGCAGTTCCAGAAGAGAAAAGGAACATAAGATTTTTCAAATAACTAGATACAGGCAATAAGTCTACTATTTGGGGGTGAGGATAGCCCAGGGGACCCAACCCCAGGCCTCACATACTATAATGTGCATACTCCATGATTTAGATACATCCCCACCCCTAAAAGATTTTTCAGGTTTTCACCACAGAGAAATTACATTTGAGTAGATAAGCTAACTAACATTAATGATTTAAGCATACTGGATATATGAGTAAAAACTTCACACAGATCTCTGTCAACAGGAATATTTTCACACACAGCTAAAAACAAATTTTAAGCTGGGTATGGTGGTACAAGTATGTAATTCTAGTGCTCAAGAGGCTGAAGCAAGAAGATGATTAAAAGTTCAAGGACAGGCTGGACTACATAGTGTAAGCCTATGATATCAAATAAAATATATATCATGTACCACTTCAAATGCTAGAAAAATAAAGTAGACTAGACCTAAAATAGGCAGAAGCAAGCCAGGCATTATAATGCATGTCTACAGTCTCAATGGCACTCAGGAAGCTAAGTGGGATTAATGCCACCATGTGCAGGCCAGCAAGGGCTACAAAGTACAACTGTCCCAAAAGCTGGAAAGATGACTCAGTGGTTGAAGCACCTGCTGCACAAGAGAACCTGAATTAGTATCCAAGCACTCAGGTAAAAAGCTGGTTGTTGCCGCATGAATGTGTATTCCCCCATCCCTGTGGAGGGTGGAAACAGGAGGAAGTTGATGCTTGTTGGCCTCCAACCTAGCTCCAAGTTCAGTGAGAAACTGTTTCAAAAGCAGCTCATATAGAACAAGACACCCAGTGTCTTCCTCTGGCCTCCACCTCCTACACACACACCAAAAGGAAGATAGAAATAAAAACAGAAAAAATATTGTGCATAAAGTTACAGTACTACTGATGAATAGTCTTGGAAAGGCCATTAAAACAGAATAAAGCTTTTGGGTCTGCATTTTGCAAGCCTACTAGCCCATTCCCATTCTTGTCTTTCTCAAACTATTTCTATTTCTACTGACTTAGAATAGTAACAACAGCACTCATGAGGCAGAGGCTGGCAGAACTCTGAGTTCAAGGCCAGTTTGCTCTACAGAGCAAGTTCCAGGACAACTAGGGCTACACAGAAAAACTCAGTCTTAAAACATGAATGGATGCATGCATAAAGCAAGCAAGCAATAACTGTGCTGGGAATATAAAGCTCACTGGTAGAGTACTTGCCTAGAATGCATGAGGTTCTAAGTTCAAATTCCAGCATGAGGGTGGGATATTCTAGTAACTAGTAGCTTCATGTGTATGACTGACTGGGTGTGCAAATGGGAACCAGGAATCAACACTGCATATCTACCTCATCACTTCACCTTACTGCATGAGTCAACTCAAACAATTGGGTACACTGGCAGGCCCCAGGGATCCACTTGTCTCCACCTCTCAATCTTAGGCCTGCACCATGCTTTTAAGTGGGTGGTAGGATACAAATCATATCCCCATCTCTACACAAGCACCTTACAATTGAGCTATCCCCAGTCCCTCAATATGAGGGAGGATGGAGTGGATCCCAAGAATTCACTAGCTAGCCATCCTTGCTGATAGGATACCTTACTGATAGGGTGAACTTCCTGTTAGTAAGGGATGCTGACTCAAGCAATCATACAGCAACAGAAGATACTTTATGCCCTGCTCAGGACCACATGTACATTAGATGGGCACATGCACCCAAATTCTCAATGCACTCACCACACTCACATACAAAACCCCTACCTCATCAGATAATGAGACCTAAATAAAATACCTGGGGCACAGTGTCTGACAAACACCTAGAAATTGTTAGCTATAAGGCTGGAGAGGCAGCTCAGTGGCTGAGAGTATTGGCTGCTCATCCAGTGTACCTGACTTCAATTCCCAGCACACACAAGGCAGATCACAACTGTCTGTAACTCCAAGATCTGACACCCTCACACAAACATCAAACAGGCAAAAAAAACAATGCACATAAAATGAAAATTTTTTCTTAAAAAATTGGTAGCTATAACCATATAACACCCACCTGATCTAAAGTCGTTAAAAGAACTTCTGAGTCTGTAAGATGGCAGGTAAAGGTACTTACCACTATGCCTAACAACCTGAGCTGAATCCCTGGGACCCACAAAGTGAAAGGAAAGAGAACAAACTCCTACAACTTGTCCTATGACTTCCACATATGCACCGCAGTGCATGTGACCAAACACAAACAACATTAAAGTTATTTTTTGAGATCTATTATTCCATGTTTATGAGTGTTTTGCTTGAATGTATGTGTGTGCACTTCATGTGTGCCTGGCATCCTGAGAGATCCAAAGAAGCCAGATTCTCTGAAACTGGAGTTACAGACAGTTGTGAGCTACCACGTTGGGCTAGGAATCCAACCCAGACCCTTCACAAAAGCAACAAATGTTTTTGACTGCTGAGCCAACTCTCTAGCCCAAATTCAGGTAATTTAAAAAATACTTTACATTTCTTACATATGCCCCTCATGTCCTTTCTAATTCAGAAGTCTAGGATGAAACCAGTCTGGAAACCACACTGCCCAAGCAACATGTGGGGTACAACATTACTATAAACTAGGATCACAGGTTACAAAACAAATTAGCTCCTACTAGTTACAATTGCCTTAGAAAAGCAGTATAAGCTGGACGTGGTGGTGCATGCCTTTGATGCCAGCACTCGGGAAGCAGATATCTGTTGACTTCAAAACCTGGTCTACATATCAAGTTGTAGGACAGTCAGGGATAAAAAGAAAGACCCTGTCTCAAAAAAAAAAAAAAAAAAAAGAAGTTTAAAGACAGTAACACAAGAGTTTCTAACCTCAGTTGGCTCTTCCAATAGAGATAAAGAATTATTTAGTTGTCAGTGGACTCTCAGAGTTTACGAATAAAGTACACTCTTAGACGGGTTCAGAAGTCAACAAGCTATGTTCTCCATGTAGCAGGGTATCCCTGAGTAGTACAGAAGATCAAATGGATGTAAGAACAGCCAGTTCCTTGTCTGAATCCTAGAGTGGTGGTCTTGCTTGTAATCTTAGTACTCATGAAGTGGAAGAATCATGAGTTCAAGGCCAGCCTGAGCTATGATTGAGACCATATCTCCAACAATAACCAAAACAACAGAAAAAGAAAAAATAGTTTCTTCAGCAGGTTCATTATCTGAAGTAGTTTATCATAATGTATCTGACAATCAGAGAAAGCAAAGAAAAGGAATATGTACAAAATCGGACACCATATTAAAAAACAAATAAATCAGAGGCTGGCTGGCTGGCTCAGTGGGTACATACAGATGCCTGCCTCCAAAGCTGACCACCTGAGTTCAATCCCCAGGATTCACCAAATAGGAGCAAACCAATTCCTGCAAGTGTCCTCTAAACTCTCCATATATGCCCTCACATGCACACACACAGATCCATACACACCAAAATAAATAAGTAAATTAGTATAAAAGTAAGTAAATAAATGCCCGTGGTTTGTTTAAACTTGAAAAAAATGTAAGGGACATGGCTCAGTGAGCAGAGTGCTGCCTAACTTACAGAAAGCCCTGGGTTCAATCCCTAGCACCAGATAAAAGGTCTTAAAACTTCAGATCTCTCTTTTGCAGTTTGTATTATCAAATCTCTTGCAAAATGAGAAAAGACAATATATATAACTTTCCATGACAAAACAGCGCTACATCCAACCACTCAAATCACCGATAAAGGCAACTGAGCAGTTAGTTTCGAACACTGACCTCACACACCAGGCCAACTCTCACAGCCTGCATTAATCATTAACCTTCCTCTTATAGTAAACTGACAACCAAGTCTCAATCACGTGTAAAACTCAGCTAAGCTGCAAAGTTCCTATTATAGTATCAGGACAATTGACACTTAAAAAACAATAATAATGGCTGCTAGACAACAAGTCTTGAAGGGGAGAAAATACACAAGGCAAGAAACACAAATTGGTAGTAAAGTGAGAAACCGATTCTCGGGAAAGAGTAACTCCCTAGGCAACACTGAGGTCGACACCCCTCTAAAGAAAAGACCTTAATGCACAAGATGCCACAGCAGAAACCGGAATTCCCGTGCACTGGAAGAAAAATGGGGGCAATCTCTGAGAGTGAGATGACCTGAATTCTCTCGGGAAGAAAAGCAAGCAAGAGGCGTACCAAGTCCAAACTCGAATGTTAGGCCTGTGGCGCCTCACTGGGGACAGTTGTCCAGTGAGCTCGAAATTGCCAAACGCGGTTGGAAATTCAAAGGGTCTGGGATAGGAGGCGCCTTCTAAGAATAAAAGCAAGGCATTCTCAGGAAAAGAACGCTCCGGGAGGCGGGAAGGGAGGAAGTGGCGGGGACCCCCACGTCCAGCCGGGGCACTTACGCGGCCGCCTCTTCCGGAGGCCCTCGCCGCGCGGGCGGACGACCGGGACGGTGCCGCTGAGGGAGCCAGGCCGTTCCCGTCTCACGCCCTCCGCCGCCCCGGACCCCGGCGGCACCGCGCTACTCGCCCGGCGCCTGAGCGGCTCCCGCCTCCGCGCTTCGGCGTCCACGGACGCCGACTCGCCGGCCGAGGTTGAGGAGGCGGTAGCCCTGCCCTGGCGCTCCATAGGCGCGCAGAGCCGACCCGCTCCCATCCGCAGCAGCCGTCGCTGCCGCCCGAGCCAGGCCCCCAGCGCCGCCTCGCCGTCTTCGCGCAGCCCGCTGAGCGCAGGCGCACGCGGGCTGCCGCCTCTTCCGTTGCGCCAACGTGCAGCGAGCCAATCCGAGCTGAGTGTGGGGGAGTGGCAGGGCTCTCGTCCAATAGGCTCTGCGGCTCGAGCCGAAGGGGCCGCGCTGCTATCCAATGACAGGCGTTCAGGACAACGGAGCAGAGCAGGATTAGAGTGATGGCGGCGGCGCACTGACGAGTTCAGAGAGGGGCGCCCCCTCCTGCGCAAACACGAGAGAGGTGGCCTCTTGGCTCCTCTTCCCTAGAACTCTCCCGGGACGTCGCCTAGTCTCTCCTCGATGCCGGGTGCTGGCGCTCGTGAATCGTGCCTTCCTTCAGCCCAGGAGAGCCCCCGAAACCATTAGCAGTGTTAGCAGAAGGAAGAACTTTGAGCCGTGACTAACCTTAGCTTTTGTCTCTAGGTCTGAGTCTGGGTCTGTAGCTGCGGAAGGGGCCCCACAACCATCGGAACTGTCCAGGCACCGTATCTTCCTTTGTGTTTGGGCTAATACCCTTCATTCCCGGTACCAGAAGAATGAAAAGACTGGGGTTGGTCTCCATGGCAACTGGCGGGAGGAGGTGGTTTCTAAATCCTTCACTTAACGTCCTGTCTGAAGGAGGCGGTGTTGAAGGCCAGGAAGTTGGGTTGGATTTTTGCATACGTGTATGTACGTCTGTGATCCCGGTGCGTGCCTAATGCGCGCTGAGGGTAGAAAAGGCCTAGGGATTCACCGTACAGTGAAGGGCTTATCCCCTGCCCTCTCTACAAGAATAGCTAGTGCTCCTAATCGCTGAACAATAGCTCCAGCCCCCTGGGTTGGCTTTGTGCAGAAGACAGGGATCCCCTTTTTTATGGTGTGTTGGAGCACAGAAAAGAATTTGGCAACTGGATTTTTTTTTAATTGTCTTTCCTAACAGTCCAGGGGTCCCCTTATATACTAGAGGCTCTTCCCAACATCCCCACTACCAAAGGCTGCCTTGACCCCAGAAGTACCCCTACCTAGCAATTCTCCTAAGACATTCCATCAATTTTTAAGTGACTGGGGCATTTTCACAATTTCCTAAGTATCTTTTTTGGAGAGGCGATAGTAATGTCCGCTGAGTGACAACCCTCATATCTTCACTTACTCCATCATTAATAATAATATCAGGCCAACCTTCTTTTGTGTCTGTCGAATAGTACTCCCATGTTCACTCCAAACTAGTGCCCCATGGTGTAGGATTAACTCTGGAAACCCTGTTTCCTTGCTTGAAACTCCAGCTCCTGCAGAAAAACACCACATATACAGATACAACAAGAATCAAGAATACCCATAGCAGAGCTTGAGAGACCAATCAACAATTAAGAGCAGAGTCAGGATTCGACTCCAGCGCCCATGTGATGCTCACAGCCTTCAGTAACTCCAGGGGATTTCACTGTCATGGCTCCTAGAATACCAGGCATCTAGATGCTGACAGTAAGATACCTGCTGCCAAGCCACCCTGTCCCTGTCCCATGTGTAGCCACCATGCCAACTCAAAGTACTGGGCTTGGGCCGGAGAAGAGCACCTACTAGACTTTAGGCATCACTGCTAAAATCTTAGGACATCATTGGAATTCTGAGTTATGTGCAATCAATAAAGACAAGACATAGATGAGACAAAGAGCCATCAAAGCCATACTACTGAACAAAGTATCCCTCTTTCCTCCTTTGGGCTAACCATGCAGCTGGTATTCATTGAAGCTGCAAGCCAGAAGTACTTGCTATCACTGAGGAAACTGCATTCTTGCTTCCAGTGTTGTGTGTAAACTGGGTATCTGACTTGCCTCCATGCCTGGCATTGTCTGTGGCAACTGAAAACACCTCCCCACTTGTTGATAAGGCCAAGGCCTTCTTAGCTAATCCATCTACATTTGTGGCTGCCGCCCCTGTAACAACAGCTCTCACTACTGCTCCTGTTTCTGCAGCCTCAGCCAAAATTGAAGCCAAGGGCATGTCAGGGGAGTCAGGCATGGGTATAGGATTTTGACTAGTTACATAGTCTCGACCAATTCAGGCTAGCTTTATTTGTAAAGTATGGAAATCAAGGCTTAGATTTGGTGATGAGGCAATTATCTAAAAACATAGAGATTTAAAAAATTAGGATGTAGCTCCACTAGAGAGTGCTTTCTTAGTGTAGGGAAACCTTGGATTCAGGTTCCCTTCCATCATGGAAGAAGTTAAGCTATTTTCTGCCTTTGTAATTAAAAGAAGGCATAGATTGGAGCAAAGCATGTTGGTCCACACCTATAATAGCAGGATTCAGTAGGCACCCAAGTTCAAGGCTATAGATTGAAGTTTCAATAAAAACCCCTAGCTTTTTGAAACAACTATTTTTTTTTTTTAAACTACATAGTTCCAGTGGCCTCAAATTCACCAGATAGCACAGGCTGGCCCAGAAATGCTCCTACCTCAGGTTCCTGGGAGCTAGAGTGTGTGTGTGAGTGTGTACATCCACATGTATCTGCCACCATGCCCAACTTTGGCTCTTAAATATAATTCTCAACCTTTACATTGTTTATGTTTCTGAACTTGCTGATAGCCTATAATATCAAATGAAGTAGTACATTTATATAATCTTAATATTAAATCAGAAATGAAAATTGTTGGGTATGTTAGCACATAACTATGATCAATCCTGACACTCAGGAGGCATAGATGGGTAGATCTATGTGTTTGAAGCCACCCTAAGCTACATAGTGACACCCTGTTTTAAAGAAAAGGAGACAAAAATGTGTACTTAAGATTCTGTATTAAGTTCAGAGACTGGGGTCTATCTCAGAGGTACTTGCCTAATATTCCTAAGACCCTGAATTTAATCCTCAGCACTTCAATTACTAATTAGTTAAGTTTTGTTTTGTTTTGAGACAAGGTTTCTCAGTATAGCTCTGGCTGTTCTGGCACTCACTCTGCAGACCAGACTGGCCCTGAACTCAAAAGATCTGTCTGTCTCTGCCTCCCAAGAGCTGAAGTCAAAGAGTGTGCTGCCATTGCTGCTGCCACAGCCACCCCACCATCACCACCTGGCATTAATTAGTTTATTGAACTGAAAAGGGCTGGACATAGTGGTACCTACCTGGAATCCTGGCACTTGGGAGGTGGAGGCAGGAGGATCAGAAGTTAATGCAGGAGGTCTCCCTTATGTAGTTTGAGGCCAGCCTTTTCAATATTAATGTAAAATATTAGGTTAAGATGACCATTACTGTGGGGGGGGAGCAGAAAGGGAAACTAAGGCCTCTAAGAGATTGGTAACGTTTTTTTTTTTTTTTAATGAGGGCACGTGTCTATACCGTAGTGCCCATGTGGAAATCAGAGGATGATTTTATGGAGATATTTCTCTCCATCTTTTATATTAAACTCAGGTCATTAGGGTTACAGGACAAGTGGTTTGCTGTGCTGTGACAGACTGGTAATGTTTCTTAATCTGAGTGGTTACATACATTCACAATGTAATATTTCATCAATTGTTCGTTTGTAATTTGTGTAATAGTCTTTGTTAACATTTTTAAAAAGAGGACTATTAGCAATGGAATAAACTATGATTAAGCATAGCTGTTTACCTCCAAAAAGTGAAATGAAATTAGCAAGAGCTGAAGAGTGGTGGCACACGCCTTTAATCCCAGCACTCAGGAGGCAGAAGTAGGTGGATCTCTGAGTTCGAGGCCAGCCTGGTCTATAGAGCAAGTTCCAGGAGAGCCAGAGCTACACAGAGAAAAACCCCATCTTGAAAAACAAACAAAAGGAAGTAAGTTTCCCTTCTCTGTGGTTAGGACAGGTTTTTCGGAGAGAACATTATTGCGGTTTTTATGACTCTCGGTCTCCATTTTCTGTTGTACAAGGCAGAGCAAGCAAGCACCATTGGGCACCTCAGAGGAACTGACCAAGTTCTAAAAGAAGCGACTTGCTGAGCTAGAGCTGCTTCTGTGGTGTAACACCATATTAGTTGTTTATTGCTAGGTTAGAGGAATGTTGCTGTAAGGAAATCAGGAATTACTTAGCTGAAAAATTTAGTCTTCAAGTCTTTTAAAGGTACAGTTTGGGCTGAAGAGATAGGTCAGTGGTTAAGAGCGTGTGTTGATATTGCAGAGGAACAGCTCAGTTTCTAGCACCTACATAGTAGCTCAAAACTATCCATAACTCTTAATTCCAGATGATCAAACATTCTTCTGACCTCTGCAGGCATCAGGCACACCCATAGTACACAGAAAGATGTGCAGGCAAAACACTTGTATGCATAAAATTAAGAAAGGATGAAGAAGTACTGTCAATGAAAATGGGCTGAAGGATTATGCCTGGATATCATGAGACTGGCAAGGTAGTATTATTGGTGATTAGCAGGAAGCGTCTAGGGAAGCTGAAGCATCCTCACAACATAGCAGTTGGTTTTCCGCAGAAGTGGTGTTCTGTGAGAAAACAGAGGTGGCAGTGTCTTTTATGACATAGGCTGGGAGGTCATACTCCATTATCTATGCAATATCCTGTTACTAAACAGGCCAGCTATCTTCAGTATGGATTGGTATCACATAAAACCATCAGGAAAGAGACAACTCTTAGAAGCAACTTAGAGCCCACAGTCTGCCCTAGGCTTCCAATGAATCAGAGCTGCATTTGTCTTCTGAGAGTATAAGATTAGAGCATCATTGTAGAGGAAAAGATGATATTGTCTTAAATACTGTTTGTTAGAACCAAAGCAGCATCCTCCAAAACAGCAGTGCTGGGTACAATTTCCTAAACAGAAGGACTTTGTTTTGGGTAAACAGAAACCTAAAGACCCTTATCTTTATGGAACTAAAAGCCCAAATAAACCCTTCTCTCCATAAGTTTCATTGGCCCCACTATTTCATCACAGCAATGAAAAATAAGTAATACTGGGTTTTTCATCATGTCTAGGCCCTTCTATAGATAGAATGTGTGTGTGTGTGTGTGTGTGTGTGTGTGTGTGTGTGTGTGTGTAAGCAAGTATGTGGGGGGGAGGCTGAAGTAGAACT